ATTGAGGAAGCTAGTGCGACAGCCACCTGACTAGCTCATGAGCAAACAATTATCCTAACAAACCGATTCATTGACAGGATGTCACAGGGAGCTCATTCGAAGAAGCAAGAAATCAGCGGACTACAGAAATAGACTAGAGGAGCGAACAGCTGAGAAGATCGATCCAGGATTCTTTAAATCAGTCTTTCCCTCCAGAAGAACTACAGATTGTCTCATCTCCAATTCGCCAACCTTCACCACCAGTACAGTCAGAAGTCCAGGATTTGCCACAGTCACCTAAGCGAGTACCACCACCGTCTGTAACTCCTCTCCGTCCTATTACACCACCACCACAGTCTCTCCTACCAGTACAAGTACAGCAATTCATCCACCTCAACAGTAAGGACCACTACGAAGAAGACCAGGAAGACGGAGCACCAGACTAGCAATGCTAACAGAAGCAAGCCTAGCTTTCTTAAAGGTGGGACAACCATATATCGATCGTCTCAAAACAAGGCCTCTTAGGTCCAGCTATTGCACAACTTAAATGCCTTTTCCATTTTCCAAGCTGCTTTTAAAACCTTTATGTACATCTATAAGTTCTCCCTGCTCCTCATCTAAAGTTCTTAAGTGGTGGTGGTAAAAATAAGTCCAGTCTCCAGCATCTTTCATCCAATATTTTTTTCCAACCTTTTAACTCAGATTGTCGCTAAGAATTCAACATCCACAAAAAAAATTTCTGAAGACGATCGTCTTTCAACTTCGTTATCCTCCTTTCAAGGTGGTGGTAAAAAAAGAAAATCAAGTACCTGAAATTTTCTTTAATTATTATGTTCTAGAATTAATCATCTCATTACTACATGCCCAGAATATTGGTTATTGACACCACCAGCTCTCTTGCCTTCCCATGCCTCAGAAGTGCATTGATTCCTATGCCTCAAAAAAAGGAAATCTAAAGTATCGATAGCACGAGACAAGATCCAAAAAAACAATCACGTACGATAAATTCGTATCGAAATAATTCATCTCGTCCGCACAATCGACAAATAAGCTAGCAAGCAGTCATAACCTGATAAGAATAAAGACAGCTGGACTATTTGGAAAAATCAGGAATATCCTGCATCCCATCTACAATAGGAGTTTCGTTGAGATGAAATTCTTTTACTGTCCTAATCTGTGCTGCTATCAGAGTTACTAGTTCAGTGTCTGACAATCTAGTAAGCTATTATTTTGATAGAAATTTATTTGTCTTTCATTTATAAAATTTACACGTGATCTTTGGCATTTAAAAAATTAATACTTCATTTAAAGCTCCTTACTTTTTAAATAATATATACTAGGAGGCTCCGCCCCCTGCTCGCCATCCCCCGAGAATTGCTACGCAATCCTATGTGGTTCACGCCGTGAACCATGGCTCGCTCGCCAATGAACACAATGTTCTAGCACAAAGACATAATATATTATCATCAAAGACATAGTATTTTATCATCAAAGACATAGTATTGTACTTATGTAGAAGAATTCTACCAATGTTCTTATTGGCTTTTAAAAAAGTATATTAGCTATTTAGATTGTACATGGTGAAAAAATCAAAACATTAGCTAAATAAGAAACATATTAGCAAAATAAATTATCAAATATTGCTTCACTAATATTCTGCATTTTAAAGCGTGAAAATTCAATGCATAAATAAACGCGAAATATAAAAAAATTCAATGCATTCAATACAAACACTTAAACGTTTTTTAGACGTTTAGGTAGCTCCCAGTAGAAAAATATCAATTCAACAGCGGCCTTTTAAAGCATTCTCACTTCAATTAATTAATTAATTCCTAATTGAGTTTAAATTAAATATTGTCATGTTTTTAGTGCATGAATCTGAATTGAACAACCTGTTAATGCTCACTCTGGTTATTGCTATCCTACATGCTCTTGCGCGCCGAATCCAATCAATTAAAAATGAAAACTGTTGCCAGCGCGAGAAAAGAAATATCATCGGTTTTATTGATACATACATACGTATTAGCGTTTTATATAATATAGATTCTCTACTCAGCATTGAATGGGTGATCCGAAGTTTTAAAGTCAACTAAGTATAGATAGATAAATAAATTCATAATTTATATATATATATATATATATAGCTGTACCCTGCGTGCGTTGCAACGCTTTCAGTTTGAATAGCAATTTTGTATTTAAGTGCGTAAATGAGATTTGCGATTGTGATAAGAAATGAGAATTTTATTTAATAGTGAAAACCCAGAGATAGTGAGCTGACCAATTTGGCATGGTGTGATTTTTTCAATAAGCCAAATCATGTGGCCATCCTCTTTTTTGTCATTCAATAGAATACATCGAACACTGTGTCTCTCCAAACACATTACGCTTCACAATGAAATCAAGTATAGAGCTTAATTTTTGCTTTAACTCACGTGTGGTAATATTACCAAGATTCGATGATGTTTGCCTAGGTTACAAAAGTTCTTTAATTTCAGCCCATGCAGGATTGCATGTGAATGTAATAAATAAATCTGGCTGCCTATATATGCACCGACATATATTCGGCAAGAAAAGTTTCAATTGTTTTATTTGACCCGATAACAAAGTTGATAATGGCTCGGTTGGCGACGTTAAATCTGTTCACTTTTCCACCAGAACAGCAAATTCCAGCTGTTTGATTCTTAAATTTGAAGACATTACATAACACATAAATGACTCATTTTCCCTATAACTTGGATAGAGACTATTAGTGAAATACACTCTAAGATTTAAAACAGCATATTGGTGGCGTTTGAATAGATTAGCGAGTTTTCTATTCTTACTTCCCACTGTTTTGATGGTTCAGATAAACGGGCTTGAGCAATGTATTTTAATTCGGTAACCTGTCTTGTTTATCGTTGCTCAGATGTTTCAGAGGAATGAGCTTGCGAAGTGTGCAGTCGATGTATAACCAGTTTTGCCTGCTGCTGCTCAGATATTTCAGATTTTGTATTGAATTATGGCCGCAAGAAATGTTTAAACTATGTGAATATGTGTGCTATGCGTTTTAAATATATTTGGGCAACAGATAATCCCATGCAAAAAAAAAAATAGTTACTGAATTATATTTTGAATTATTACTCAAGATTTTATAATCGAAAATATGATTGAAGTTACCAGGCGCACAATTTTGAGCATCATTATAAAACTATGTATTGAGTTTTAAGATACTTTAATTTGTGTTATCTATATCAAGTCTGTTACTGATTTCTTAAGAGGCTCTAACCATTCATCGAAGAATTTGCCCTTCAGTTTTAGCTAAATTATCATCCAGACTAACTATTGCTTATCGTCGTGATGGATTTAATTGCATGAATTTTTTTTTTTAGCATAGGTCTCAAGGCATGATATTCACCTTTAGCTTCTTTGATTTCTGAAATATGTACGTCAAGATATCCAACAGTTTTGATTTTAGTTCGAAAAATGCTGTCTTGTGGAACGCTATCTAGAATTTTTCTATAGCTTGAAAATATTGTTTAGTATAATGAAAAAATTTTTTTTTTCTTCCATAAGGTAAGAGTTGATGAAAATAATGCATTCAAGAGATATGTTTAATTCATGTAGTTAGACAATGAGACCCTTATGTCAAACTCAATGCTTTTGCAATGTAAAGCAGGTCATGATTTTTCTTTCTTTTTTGTTAAAAATGATATTTGAATTAATTTTTATTTATGTTATTAATTTTTATTTAAGTCTAAAGGTAATGTGACCATTAAAATTAGAAGAAAAAAATCCTCAACAATCAAATTTCAGATTCACATAACATCAAAAGATCACTAGGGCACCTCGGGATCGTGATTCCCGTGTTTACTTAAAGAAAGTAAACCCCTTGAGGAAATTATAGACTGATATTGTTCAGCTATCACTTTTATTCATGTTTTGATAAATTTTGTAATTTGTAAAGTAGTGCATGGTGTAAAGCAAATTAAAACATATTAAAAGTAGCTCATTTGCTGTAAACACATTTGTCAACTTGTTACATTTTCAATGACAGCATTTATATAAAGTGGCATTTATCTAATGAACATTTTTTACCTCGAAAGATCACTTTAGTACCACAAGGGTGTGGTTCCTGCATTAATTATAAAAAAAAAATCCAGTAGATCCGGAGCTGTTGAAGGAAGTCTGAATTTGCTCTTTCGCTTGCATGATTTAGCTGGGTATAATCATGTCATGGGTGGCTTTCACACCTTAAGCGGCTCTACCAGGAAAATAATCTACAGACATCCTTCCGCCACAATGAGACATCATGCAGGACTTCTTGATTGTCTGGACATTTCCTAAGAGGACGTTCTCTTGCGACCAATTTTGATGTGAGACTTTGTCAGAGCGTTTTGACACATAGATTTGATATAGCTGAGACTATATTGTGAAGACTTAGAAACAACAACCATAAAAAATAAATGAAATGAGGATGAATTTGGTGAAATTATAAATAAATATTATTCGGTTATCACTTTATACAGACTAGAAAAATTTCAAAATCTGTATAACTCATGGATAAAGGATCTTAATCTTATTAAAAGTTGATTATTTACCATATTCCAATTGTCAATTACCCTTATTTTATCGAACGCATTTTTATTAAGTGGCAGTGAAATTATGAAAACAAATTTCCGAACAATTTAATTATTATGTTTGAGCAAGCAGTCATAACCTGATAANTTAGTAAATGATTTTAAAAACTACATTTACATAATATTAACAAGAAAAAGGTTCTTATTTAAAATATTTTTTATTTTATTGTGGCAATAGGAACAAAATATACTAATATAGGTATGGTGGTAGTATGTTGTTTTGTGTATGTAAAAGTGCTTATGAGAGGGCAACATTATTGAAAGTTTAATGCATTACATGTGAATACATATAAACATAATTGGATAACTAAAAAGGAAAAAAAAATCAAAAGTTTCTAAAACATATGGCAGTCAGATAGTAAAAAAATATGAGTTCTTGATTTTTTTAAAAATAAATAATCACTTATTTTCTTGTCTTTTTTATTTTTAAAAGAGACCAATAAATACATTTTTATCAAAAGTAGCAAACATTGTAAGTACAGTATAAAATATTGCTTGACTAACAGTATAAACTTTGATAATTAAGTAACAGGAGATAAATATTTTTACAAGTTATCCAAAAAATACATTTTTCTTTCTTTAAAAAATGACTAGATCTTTACACTTGATCGTTCATAGGTTGTCAATAATTTAATGTTATAAAGTGGACTAGTTAAATGATTGTGAGCCTGCTCTGAATCGCTTTGACTTTTAAAGAATACTTGGCTTAAAAAGCAGATTTTTTAAACATGACATTTTATGGTTGCCACATAGCATATTTTTTTATTTAATATTTCTTTTTATCAATAACAGCACTCTTGCAATAACCCATTGTGAGCCAGGGGATTATATAGGTTAAGGCTTCACAATTTCAAGACCAATATGATTGTGGCAACTTGGTCAGCAATATGCACAGGACGGCTTTATTTTTTAGACAATAAGATACTTATCAATCTGAAACTGAGAGGGCTTCAAGCTGCCAGTGGTTATTGAACCCTAGTCGATCACAATTCAGCATTTTAACCCGAATCTCTTTTTTCAAACAACATTTCAAACAATTCCCTATGACAAACAAATTATAAAACATAATATTTGAATAATGATTTCAGAAACTTAATGAACATTCTTACAGGATCTGGTTTAACTGCTTTGCTTAAATAGTATCAATCAGAAACTGCTACTGATATTTTATATCAATGACAAAAATATAAAATGGGTACTTATCACTAGAAAAATTAAGAATTTACCATAGGAAAAAGGAGGAAATATATCCACTATCTGTTTAAGATGAAACCCTTTTTTTAAATTTTTTTTCTCCAAATTCCAAGCTAGCTCCCACTTGCTCTTTGTAACCAAATTCACCTATTCTACAAAATCTAAAATGTGTGATAATATGAAGAAAAAATTTAATACCTGATATTTATTTTCAAACATTGTTCAATGAAACAATGTTCATTGTTCATCGTAAGCAAAAAAAAAATCATTAAAAGATTTTTAAAAGTATTGTATTTCTAAAATATTGATGTTTCAGAAAATGTATATAAAAATATTTTGATCAATTTCAAAGGCAAATAAAATTTATAATAACAAGGATTACAACTCGTTCAAATACTTTCATGTTAAAGTAAATGCATAAAAAAAATATGTATAAAGAGAAAATAGTATATTCAGTACATCTTGAAAGATTAAGCAAATGTAAAACTGATCATTATAATTAATCAAAATATTTTTTTAAAAAAGGAATTGGAAAAGTATTTATATAAAATAAATTAAAAATTCATGTTTCACACAAAGACAAAACATAAACAAGATGACAAAAATTATCTTGGGCAATGTTGAAAACCTAATTTAATCAATATATAGTATTACAAATCAATTTTTAAAAATAATTTGCTTCCATTGTCACTAGATTCCTCAGAAATTAAATAAGTTACTGCCATATTTTGATTTGCATTAACCATATTTGATGCCTATTTATTGATTTGAATCTAATGCATTGTTTGGGGTGGTCTATCTTGGAGACAAGGTTTTGTGCTTAAAAGACTTACACACATTTAAAAAATAAAAACAGCAAAGAACAGAACAAAATATTAGTAAACCAGTTAATGTCCATAGCAAAAAAATTATGTGACATATTTACTATTGTGCCAAGTGTGGTCACTTTTTTGAATTGTAATAAAGCATTTAATTTACAATTTAATATTCTTCTAAAGCTCAAATAAGTAGTAATATAACAAACAAATTCTTAAGAAGTATGCTTCAACATTTCACATTATAGTTGTCAGCAATATTATTCTTTTTATGTTAAATATAGACACTATCTGACTAGAACATTTTTTTAAAAACTTATCAATATAATTTAAAAAAAGGATTAATTAGTTTTAGAATAAGATATAACTTTTACATTGAAAGTAAGATGGTAAATTTTGATTTTCCTTTATAATTGATTTAGGATTACTTGCTTATATCTCTACTAAAATCTTTAATAAGAGTTTTAAATGAAACTGCTTTAGAATAGTAAATTCATATTTAAAATAAATAACAATATAAAACAAAATACGAGACTTGAAAAAAGTTGTTTATAATACAAATATGAAACGATACGATAGCTCGAACTAGCACCAAGTCTCCAGTGAGCTTGTGACACCTCGCATAAGTTGGGAATGAAACCTCAGGAAGAGCAAATCTCATTGTTTACAAACCTTGTCTAGAGTAATATTTTATATGGGATGTTTATCAAGATATTTCATCAATTTATCTTTGCGTGAAACATCATTAATTGAATTGTTCAATTCTAGGCATAATCTCACTAAGTGGCGTTGAATGGAAAATCGAACATCAGGTGCAATCATGAGCGCTTCATCATTTTCATCATAGAGAGTGTCATCAAAATAAACTACAAGGAAATGGGTGTAGTCTTTTAAACATTTAGACCAATCAACAAGGATCTTGTCTAATCCATAACGAAACCATTCCACTTCTATGCCACCCTAAAGATACAAATAATTCAAAACAATACAATTAACAAAAAAATACAAAATTTAAATTATGCATAAATTATTTTTCACTCACTAAGAAAAAATAATTATGAATATATTAATATAAATAATAATGATAAGTGCTTATTTATATAATAACCCTGTCTTTTAACTTCTATAATCATATAATTTAGTACACACAGATTCTATATCTTTTATTTCTCCTTTAATTAACTAGTAAAATATATGTATAAATACTGGGCAAAGGGAAATAAAGAGATATAAAGAGGTTGGGTAATTTTTTAACACTTGATGCATAAAAAGCGTCGCTACATTTTGAAATAATAGAACTTTTTTTTAAAATGCATAAAAATTTTTTTTTTTTTCAAACTAAAAATTTACTGACAAACTGTGTTGTTTTTTATAAAAACTAATTTTTTAATACTATAATGAACACATTGCTGCCCAGGGACAAGTTACTTTGTCTTTGCACTTGTTTAATCTATTGTAAATTATGAAACCCTGGACAATATAGAAGAGTCCAAATTTAATTTTATTTCATACAGCACTAATAAAATTACTTTAGTTTATTTAGAATGTTTTAATTTACTTCCATATTTAATAACAAAATAATAACTAGTGGCATGAGATAGTTTTTTTTTGTAAACTTGTACATCAATAAACTTAAAAATCTGTTTTTTTTTTACAATCTTTCTCTTAAAAATTTAAGGCAGAAAAATAATTCTTGTTTGTGTTAATGAGTAATAATTTTAATAATTAAAACAGGTACAACAATGCAAAGTTAATTATATTATTATGATTTTAATTAAAATCTAAATACAATAAATATTATATATAGAGAGAAAAAAACTTACATAATCTGAAGAACAAGATGGAAGAGGGAATTTCTTTTCTTCATTCTGGAAAAAAAAATGGTAAAGAGTGTGTACAAAAAATAAAATTATTTAACATACTGCAAGTTAGGAAAGATTTTAACAATAAAGAAGAATTTTATTATCAACCAAGGAACATATGAAATACTAGCCTTTCATCATTTCTCTAATGTAAAATACATAAATTACATAGAAAAAGCACTCTTTAAGACAGGGTGCGAAATTTCTACTAACCAGCTTGACTTTGGCGACTGCATATCTAGGGTTAACAAGTTATAATACTATATGTATAAAAAATAAACATTACATAGATTTATATTTTAAAAAAAAAACTTACATAATCAGAAGAACAAGATGAAAAAGTGCAGCTTTTTTCTTCATTCTGGAAAAAAAAATGGATAAGAGAGAGTAAAAAAATAGAATTATCTAACACACTGCAAGTAATGAAAGCTTTTAACAATAAATAAGAATTTTACTATCAACCAAGTAACATATGAAATACCAGTCTTTTATTATTTCTGTAATGTAAAATACATAAATTACATAGTAAAAGCAATCTTCATGGCAGGGTGCGAAATTTCTACTAACCAGCCTGACTTTAGTGATCATATATTTAGGGCTAACCAGTAAGTTTTGTCCAGTAAGTAAATTTATGCTTTAATCTAACTATCTTATTTTCTCCCAAGTTGAAAGTGCGTTTATGTGTTATAGACCAGAATGCAACTGCAACGACTCTTATTCAAGAGGACCTTCTATGTTTAACTGGTTGAGACAAGAACTAACAGCACATTCTGTTCCCCTAGTAATAGTTTGTTGTCACTGCATGAAATGAAAACTGGATTGACCAAGTTTTGGTGGGTAAATATTTTTTATTTACAATAAGGACATTCTTTTTTATAGAGGCAATGACATCACAATCCGTGGCACAGTCAATAAAAATGTATTTTCTTTAATTGCGGCATTGTCGTAATGAAAGAAATGTAGAATGAAAGAAAGGAAATTAGTTTAAGAGGTAGATATTTGGATGATATTGGAATCATTGTAACCTAATTGTAAGAAGATAATATTTTAATACTTTAAGATAATACCTAGACTATTATTTTTTTGTTTTTACATTTTCTTAAGTTTTGGTCACCAAAAAGTCTTTTTGTACTATGTGCTTTTATTTCAAAAAATGTTCATGTTTTTCATAAAAATAATAGTGGCAGGCAGAAGATTCAGCCTTCTAGTACCTACTTTTAGAACTGAAATTTCACTCCCTGCTTTATAGTTCCATCATAAATTTTATATGGGAGTGCAGATAATTTTTTTTTTTTTTTTTTTTTTTTTTTTTAGTAGAAAGTCAGAAATAACAGCTGACTGTATAAAAAGTCAAACAACCAATCAATTTTCAAAAATAAAATACATAAAGTATAGTTGGAAAAAATTTATGCATATGGTTAAGTGTAAGTGACAAAAAAAAGGTGCATTATTATTTGTTATTAATGAAGGAGAAAAAGAAAAGCATTTTTTTTCTTTTTTACTCAAAGCTTTTATTTTTAAATAAATAATTTATTTTGGCAATGAAAGAAGTATGGAAAGATTTCAAAACTGAAGAGAGGGGAAGAAACAAAGAAATAGAACTTTTCCTTAAAAATTCCTTTTAAGATATATTAATTAAATGAAATAAAAATAAACATTTATTTTTTCAAAAAGTAAAATAATCATTGATGCACAGCAAGAGTTACTTACTTTTGCTAATTCATTGAGAGCTTTAACAGTTTTTCTTTTATGGTGCATATAACTTATGACATGATCTGTCATAACAATGATGATTCTTCTATTGCAACTGCATTTCCCGTTGATTGAAGAGCAGCACTGCAAGTGTTCGTCTAACCAGGTGTTAGGGTCAATATGAATTGGAGCATGCCTATCATCAATTACTGTGACATTGAATTCAGCATATTTTTGCAAGAACTTTGCAAGGTGGTCCACAAGAATCCTGGTACTCTTGTCAGAATGATAGAGAATGAACACTTCAGTATCACTTGGTTTAAGAAAAGGCAATTCTTCTTCATCTATAATTGGTAATGATGAATTATCAACATATAAAGTATACTTTTTTTTCTGCCACCAAAAGCAGTTTTTCTCAAATGTTCCCTACTTATGAATCTTTTGAAATGAGCCTCGCTCTGTGTATCAAAACCATATTAAATATATTATATGCAGTGTAATGCTCCAAATTATATATTAAGCAAGGAATTAATCAGATCAGACTTTAATGTGCACATAAAGTCTGATCTGATAAGGAAACCAACATAAGGAAACTATAAATTTAATACTCAAAATCTTTAAAATAAAGCATTATCAGTCCATGTAAAATAGAAAGAAAAAAAAAGAAGAAAAAAAAAAGAACCATTAAGTCATATATTTTTAATAAATTTATTTACCAAAACGTACTTGTGAAAGAACTAAAATAATTTTTTGGATCAGAACTACAATTAGGTAGCCCATTTAAACTTGACACAATTAAACGAAATGGTATTATTACAATACTTTTCATTCCTTCAGTGGGTCGATAGACGAGTACCAAGCATGCTTGGGAACTAAACACTGGGGGTTCCGTATTCGGCTGACCACCTAACTGGAAAATCTGCTCCTGTAACCCAGAATCCAAGGTCAAGAAAACCAAGATGGGCACAGTAGGCCTTAACCCTCTAAGGGCTGTCGCGCCACTGAGTTTAGTTTAGTTTTTTGGTATTACTACAAATGATGGTTCATATGTTAATATATTGTTTAACTATGAACTAAGTTTCTTAATTTTGGTCCCACTAGAAAGAAAGAAGTCAGAAACATGAAATAATATTATTAAAATACTTAATATATAATATATAATTATTTAAAATTATTTATACATAATTATTAAAAAAAAATTATCAAAACAATTTTTAGGTAAAATATTTTTGAAAATGTAAAGAATTATTTTTTTTTACAAAGAAAATCACAAATTACCCCACCTCAAATTTAAAAAAAAAAAATTATGGTCAGAAAACCAGGGTTATTGATATTTTAAACATTAGATAATATTTTTTATCTTATGTTCAGCAATTAACAAAAAATACTTAGAAGTTTTAATTCACATTTTATTAAAGATACATATGAAAAAATATATTTCTTCTTGCCAGTATGGATTTTTTATATAGAGATTTTTAAGGTTTAAACATCATGAAATGTAGCAGGCGACCATATTATTTTATGTAATTTTAAGAAAAATGACAAGAATGGTTATTAAATTTTGATACTTTTTTTGTTTTCAATCAGCTCTTTTCTTTCTTAATAAAAACTATTCTTTAATTTTCTTTCATGTAAAATGTTAAAAATACTTTTAAGAAATATAGCTAACACAGCAGATTAGGCAGAGTTTTAAAATTCTGAGGAAAATCTCTGCTCAATACGTAAAAATTGAGAACCATTTCAACGCATTAATTCTTAGGATTGTATTAACTTTAGTACAAAAGAAAATAGATTATTTATAAAATGCCAGTTAAAGCTAAAAAGAAAATATTTCTAATATGAAATTTCTATTTGTTCCTGAAATTCAATATTATTTTGAAATTGGAGAGCATAAACCAATTGCTTCATTTCAATTTAATTTATAAACACTGACTTACGCAAAAGCATGTTTAAGTGATCACAATTGAACTATACGATTTTCAATACAACTAAGATGACAGTTTCAACCAAACAACCTGTTTGAAAAGTTTTGGCAAACTTGTATATGTATTATATGCAATAAAAACTTTGGAAACTATACAGTTTAGGTAATGCGCAATATCTTAGAAACAAACTTTCTGATGACAATTTTAATAATAAAATAAAACAATGTAATAGCTGGTACATACAGGGAGGAATACATTGCCTAAATAAATTTCTTCTTCATGCTGCAACCCCTACTGCAAATTCATACAGTTAGCAATGCATAGCTATTGAAGATTATGGGAATAGCAAACTTTTAAAGAGCCTGTAATTTCACCCAAGTCCATGGAATAAAAGAACAAATCTTAATGGTTATGAAGTTACAATCTGAACATGGCTTTAATGGAATAGTTCACTGCCCTAATGTTTTATTGCCATCAAGGCATTAGTGATAATATAATTAAAACCTTAAGTGTGAAGTTAATTAAATAATAAAGCTCACACAATTCTCCTAACAGAGCTCAGATTCAACCCCTATCTTTTAAAATCCTAAAGAGTCAATATAACATTACAGGCAAAATTATTTAAAATGTTAAATTTCATGAGTTTTCAATTTTTATCTGAAGAATCAGCAGTATAGTTGTTGGAATATAATGTGGTATTACAACATTATCAGCTCAATTAGACCAGAAATTAAAAACATGCTCTTTTTTTTGTATTATCAGATCTTATATTTTCACCAAACATAAACCTACAACATCAATTATTCTGAAGAACAGAGTAAATTCAACGAGTTATTGTTTAAGCAAGACAAGGCTGTGGTCCCATCATTCTAATTTAAAAAGTTTTTTATTGCATTAATAAATAATGCACAGTCTAACACTAAAATTTAGATGTTTAAACAAAAATAACTAGATTGTTTTAAGAGGCACTCATCCAATAAAAACCGTAAAAAAGTAAAGTAGTCAAACATTTATTGATGCTAGTGATACTTCATTGTGGTAATAAGTACCTAATAAAAACAAGTTGTTAATTGGTTTTTAATGGCCTTTTTTTAACAGATAAATATATTTTAACAAAAATATGAAATATATATATAAGCAATGAAAAAATAAATATACATGCTTGCCCTTTAATCACAATAAAAGTGTCCTCTTGGCCCTTCTTATTAAAAAAAAAACTGCCGTCTCTTTTTATTCATATTCTATTTTAAAAAAGATTAATTCACTTTTCAAATAACTACACCCAGATAAAAATATCTTTGTTTATAATTCTGATTACTATTACAAATATTTACTTTGCTAGGATTATTTTTAACTAGTTACATTAATATTAAGTTCCAAATCTCTCTTTTTCGGGGGAGGATATTAATAAATTTTAAGTGATTTTAGATTTCAAAATGATTTTTTTTAAAAAAACTAAACTCTAAAACAAAAAACCACTTTCAAATGTTTGAATTATAGAAAGAAGCTTTCAAGTAATTTATAAAAAAAATGTATGCAATTAAGTATAAAATGTTTAGCAAGTCATTAATTATTTTTATAAACTACAAATTTTTACCTTATTTTGATAATGAGGGAGAATTATTTTTAAACATACACACAAAATAGTATTAGAGGATAATTTAAAAATTGTTGAGGAAAAATTTCAGTTATTACATAATATTACACATTTTGATAGATTTTTAGACTGTTAAACGTGTGCCCTTTAAAAACTCAAAGTGCCCTTTTTTATTCCTAGGGCACTCCGAATATATTATATGAATCTTTTAGATATAATGAATGTAAACAATTAAATAACTGTAAATCGGTCAAAGAGTTCAAAACAAATACAAAATTCTTACTTTCAACGATACTTTCTGGTATTTTTCTTTCTTTTCCTGCAATAAATTAAATATATTGTAACACTACTATAAAAAAAAATTTTAATAATTTCTTTTTCTTATAATTTGTTACTTACGATGTTTGTAATTCCAATACAATATTACACCAAAAATTAAGGTAAGGATTAAAACAACAGAGATATAAGGAATATCTGATGTTTCACTTGATGTTCTTTCTTTTATTACATTCTCTTTTGATGTCACAGTTTGTGTTCCTGCGAAAATAATAGCAAAATCAATTTAGTTAGGGTTTGAGCATAATTTTAAATTCATTAATTATAGTGAATCAAAAAGTTAGTGTGGTAGGTTTCGCCTTAGCACTGTGACGAGTTTCAATATTTTGTACTAAATGATATGTATCTAAATAGACCAAATTTTCGTGGAGCGTGTCTCAGTAGTCCAGAATCCACACTTATGTAATATTCACGACGGACTCAAGAGCCTGCTAAGTCCACACATGGTTGAACGATTTACCAACATGGCACAGAGGCCGGACAATTACTATTCGCCCTTTGACGTAAATTGTGATAACCAAGTACACACATTTACTAGTACTGTTTTTGATTCATCATTAAGAATGAATACCAAACCATAGTAAAAACCTTTAGTTTAGTCAAACTAACAAAATAATAGCATCACTACAGGGTTTGAAAAAATTACAATTTTTAAAAAATGAAGAGTCAGATTTTTATTTTATTTAAATCTACTTTATTTAAAAATTTTAATCCACTGTCTAGTAAGTTAAAAATATAAAAGAATAAATGTTAAAATGTACTTTTAAATGTAATCAGTTTTCAATTAAATTTTAAATTATAACCTAAAATCCTTAGAAATAATATTTATTCCAAATATGTATATAATAAAATAATTTAAATATTATGCTATGAAATTAACTATCTGGTAATATGAACTATAGTTCAATTAATGTTAATAAATAAACAAGAAAATGTGCTTCCCGCAATAAAAAATATTTCTTCAGAAAACAGTATGAATGAAAACTTCAAAAACATTCAAATACTTCAGATACTATAATACATTTAATATTTTCTAAAAACAAGTAACACATAGACTTCATATACAAAAATATTAATTTTTGAATTACTAAATCACCAGCAGATAATAAAAAATAAACGACTCACAAAAGACAGAAATAAGCAAATGTTTTATTGCTTTTCATCTGTTGCTTAAACAAAATTAAAAGGTTTAATACGTCTTCCATATTGTAAGGGGGAGGCTTGATATAAAAACACCTTCCTTAAAGATAATCAAAGATCTGCTTCAGTTATGAATTTCATAATTAATGTTTAAAAATTACTAGAGTATTTCTTCTCGGCTTTGTCAAAAGCTTTAATTTTTTTTAATCCCAGAAAAGAGAATCAATCAAATGGCTAGGAAATAGAGGTCATTAACACTGGTTTGTCATGAAAGAAAAAAAAAAGTTACAAGTTACCTTTTTATGTATATTGTGAATAATGCATTCAAAATTTGCAATTTTTAAAAGGGACATTTTGCTTTTATCAAATTTTTCCTTACGATTTTTGGTATATTTTTTCGAATTTAAATTTAGTATGCCACTTATTAAATTTATATTTAGAGTGTTTCTGTTTTAAGTTTTCAGACCAAGGGAAATTTAACCTATAAGGTTGCTTTATACTAAAATCAGTTAAAGAAGTTTTATATAAAGAAACAGAGGAAATACTTATGCCTAGCTCAGTTAGGATATAGGAAAGTCATTAATTTTAGTGTACAAGTTTTGACTTTATTATTTATATTTTAGAAATTTTAAAAAAGTTGACTTCAAATATAGCAATTAGTTACTACATAAAAAGAAAGATGTGAAAAGTTGAGTCTCAACATAAAAAACTGTATTATGTTATTTAAATTCCTTAATATAACTAGGTTTACAGTAAGTCTAAAATTACTATCAATGTCTGTTATACAACTAAATGAAAATAAATTTTATTTTTACATTACCCCACCTTCTATTTTGACTGTATCTGAAGCTAACCATGTTTTATAACATTTTCCAGCACAAGGTTCGATCTAGGAAAATACACATTATTTTATTTTAATTGGAATGAACATATAACATTCTAAACAATGAGAAAAAAATATATATACTCTTACCAAAATGCAATAATATCCATCCTTAAGATCAGTGAAATTCACTTCATAACTTTCTTGCTCCGGCTGAAAAATTACAAAAATATTCATGAAAATACAACGATATGATGTTAGTGTTTTAGAACAAAATTATAGTGGTAGTTTTATGCGAAATTTTACAAAATATAGTATAACTTCTATTATAAAATTTTATGGAACCAAAGCCAAGTCCTACAATATACAGACAAATGAAAAAATTCAGCCATATCATATTAATTTAATGATTATAAAACCAAAATATATGCATTTTCTCATGGTATGAACAAAATAAATTTATACATTAAAATTAAAACGCCTCACAAAAAAAAAAAACTTTAAAACTTTTATCTTTAAGATGAGTTACAGTTGAAAAAGTGATGATGAATAATTAGTTATTCATTTTAAATTATCAAAGTTAAAAATTTCTTATATTGGCATAATCTTTTATTATGGTATTAAGTGATTTAAAAAACACTAAACTATCAAACGAGGCAAGATATTTAGTGCTAAATCATGAACAATAATGCCATTCACTAAATGGGCTGAAGATTACTTAAATACCATCACAAAATTATTCTAAGATTAAATTTTTCAGCTATGAAAGACCTCACATCAATTAGTTTTTTATCACATTAATTAGCAATTCACCTTTTAATCTTTAGAATAAAAAAGATTGCTTTAAGTAAGGTACTAACATAATAGGCAAAGAGGCTAAGCATATAAAAGCTACCTACAAATAGACCAGTTCACAGGTTTAAGGACTAATGCACCCGGTTAGTCCTTGTCTATCAACCTATTTCTTTGTGATGCTAATGTGTAATCACCCATATCTTAGCCTAATTATGCTTTAATTAATCTACAACTGTTCCTGTTAACCATTTTTTTCTTTGCAATAAAAAACGAGCTAACTTTCTTTCCTAAATGTTTACTTGTTTAAGACTTATAGTTCAGATGGCCGGCCTCATTCAATGGTACATCACAACTGCCACATGTCATTTTTTAAATTTATATTTAAAGGTAGGAATTTCATATATATTAAAATATTACTCTAACTTTAAAATTTTGTTTTTGCTTGCATGCTATTTTAGAATTTCATGTATTTTACTATTTTTCTAAGTGTCCCTTTATAAGGAATATCAAAATAAAGCCTTGCACCATCAACATTATACATAGTCATCTGGCCTTTTAAGCTCCCGATGATTTGTTTTTATTGAAATATCTAAAACTAAAATATTATCACTCAAAAGCTTAAAATTGAATTTTTTTTTAAAAAAAAATATTTTTTTTTTGAAACATACATCCTTATTTCCCTATTTAGAACAATAATTCCGAATTTTTTTTGGCTGATACGGTAAACAAATGAATGATCTTTGGAAGCAACCCCAACTTTAGAAATAAAGTATAAAAAAATAGTTGTGAACAAATTCAGAACTAATTATAGGAAAAAAATTTAATGAATAGAATAGCATTTTTTCCTTTTGTATTTAAAAATCTCACATTGGGTCTTATGTTCAGTAGCTGAACTCACAAGCTCGGAGTTGTATCCAAATCATCCAGTTGCATCTTAGTGAATTTTATTTTTGTGAATGCATAAGTTAATAATGAATATAATATGTCAAATTAGTGTTTCAGTTGAAATATAAATAAAAAACATTTAAAAAAAATTAGATTTGAAGACAGTTAGTGAAATATTTTTCTTAATTGATGCATTTATTTATTTTAAATTCAAAAGAGCAATGGGAAATACTAATGCAATTTTTCATAATAAATTCTACATATGATTAGAAAAATTTTTATTAAAATTTTTATTACTTCTTGAATTAGCATTTAACTTTAATATCTTAAAAGCAAAACAATAAATTAATGATTGAATCTAGATATAATTATAAAATGGGAGAGAAAAGTCATAACCTTTTGGGATGTAAAGGATAGATTAAAAACAATTTAACAACAACTTTAGATTAAAATAATTTAGATAAATATGCACACAATTTTCATGGTTGCGGGGAATATCATAAATTTTACAATTTAATAGAATAATAGTTAAAATATTAACCTGATAATATAGAACTGTTGAGTGTGGTAACATAATTCCATTGGAAAAATTACACTTGAAACGATTGGGTTTCAGCAGGTGAAGATAAACATTGTAATATGTGAAACATCTTTTATACTCAGGAAGTAACACCAATGATGCTTGAAAAAGGTTTCTTTTAATTATAAAAAGAATAAGAAAATTAACATATAAAATAAATAATAATTTAACTACTAATAATTTAACATAATAATCTGGCTATTTAAATAAATTTTTAACAATTTTCAAAATAAAAGTTTTAGGAGTTTGTAATTTTACATATCTAAAAAAAAAAAATTTTTTTAACAACAAAATTGAAGAATTTATTTACTTACCCTTTAAAATCAATTTTGAGGTACAGCGACCCGAACAAGAGTATGTTTTTTAAAAAAATCAACTATTATACACCTGCAAAACCTTTTTCCAGACTACATTGTTGATTAGTAAAAAAATTATTTAAAAAAAAAAAATCTTCCTTTTCTTTTTATATAGAGGTTATGAAAAAATAAATAAATAAAAAGTAATGTTGGTTAATTTTGCCTTTGTAAAGCTAAATTAAATCAAACTATTGAAAACAAAAATAGAATTCCTCCCCCCCCCTTTCCTTGTATCATCAGTAAAGGAAGAATTACATCACTTTTTCTTGGTGCAGTTGGAAAATAGGCATAAATAGGACATTAAGGCCTCATCCAAACACCATACAACAGTGACCATTGACACAAAATTATAGCAAACTCGGAAAATAGGCGTAAATCGGTCATTAAGGCCCATTTGTTGAGTAGTAATTAAAATAGATATTATAAGTTCCAAGTTACTTGCAAAACACATTGTGCAAAATTTAGAAATGAGTTGTGCTATTTTTTCAATACAAAATGTGTATTTTTGTAATTTAAAAATGTTTCTTTGTGTATGTTTAATTAAACCTGTCAAAAAATTACCCTCACAGCATAAATTTTTTTTACTGTGACCCGGTGACATTGCCACTGAACGTTACTTACAGAGTTCTTGCAGAAATAATTTTTTTTTTTTGAAAAGTAAAAAAAAAATTATCTTTACTTATTTTTTGACAGAAATTTACTTGTTATATTCGAATCATGAATTTAAAAAACCACTTTTTGACGCGCTCAATATACACCAATAGTATTGTAAATCGATGTATTGTTTCAATTGTATTTTCGTCCGTTATTGATAGTGATTTTTATGTGGATTTTAAATATCCCAATAAACAACATGGAAAATTCGAATCGTGTATTTGAGTATTTACTTTTTAAGGCAATAATTCTGTCGAATTTTATCAGTTATAGCTATTGATTTCTCCATAGTTTCAAAATCCGATATTTTTTATACAATATTATTTTTATACAACAGTCTAATCAAGAAACAAAACAAGAATTTGAGGTGTCCGATTTGAATGATTTTGTCGTCAATCTTTTTTTCTGCCAAGTACTACTACAGAATTAATGATTTTTAAATTTATTTATTTATTTTTTTGTGATGATTACTCACAAAAGGCGAAGGAAATAATTTCTGCATTCTCCTTCCCAACAAAATGAGAAAATGTTACCTATATTAGAATAAAAATTACATGTTCAATTAAAAAAAATTATATATAGTTTTTTTGGCAAACACAGCACTTTTGTTATTTTGAATTAGTAACAAATATGTTTATTATTATTAAAAGTATCTTGCAGAAAGATATTAATGCTAGAGAGTTTTGTCGCAGATAGCTCAAAAAAATTCTGCCACAAGGCCAAAATGTATAAAGACTCGTCAACAATGCAAACGTATCGATTGATAAAGATTAATATCAAGTGCTGGCAATTTAGTTTTTTCATTGTTGTTAAATAGGAATCATGTATTAGTTACACCTGGTACAAGTTTTGTCACTTTAATTTAATTCTTGTCACTTAATTTTCATATTTAAGATTTTTAATCTACAAGTTAGGTAAAGAATACGTAATAAGGATTTTTATATCTACAAATCGCTCCTAATTTAATCTTGTTTTATTATAAGAAAAAGCCATACATAATTTATTGATTAAATTATTTGTTTAAACTTCACATGTCATAATAAAAATCAGAGTTAATAAAACCATGAGATCTGCTACGATGAAATCTGCACAAACAAAACATGTCTGATTTACAACCCATTCCCGTGCCAAAATATTTTCTTAATAAAAAATGGGATTTTCAAAATCATGCCTTTAAAAAAACAAAAATAATAAAAAAATTCATTTAAATTTACGATAAAATCAGGGCAAATAAAGTATGTTAAAAAGTGATAAATTAAGTGAACGATTTATAACTAACCAATTGTGTTAAAAAAAATTAGGGTTTTAAAATCCATATAGAAATGGGTAGTTGTAACTGCCAAAAGAATGATAAAAAAGTGATTTCTCAAATTTGAAATAAGTGTATCATAATATCGTATTAAAAATATTAGGTTTTTTAAAAACCAGGGAGGATTCCCACGCAATAACTGCAGAAAAATCGATCGGGAAAGAACATAGATTTAGAAACTAATCAATTCAAATTGAGCATGTCAAAAAGTGACGACTCAAATGTGTGATTCAAAATTGTAATTTTTTTTATTTTTCAAATTTTTTTTTTCCACAAGCTTCTGCAGGGCACAGTAAGCCAGTTCTACACCTTTAATCTATATTATCTAATACTACATCTAAAAATATAAAGAAACCAAAAACTATTATTTTTTTTATATAATATCATACTGCTACTTAGAAGAATAATCATGATTTGCAGAAGAATAAAATAATACTCACGCAATTGAGTTGCCTTTAGTCTGAATAGTAGCATTCCAATTAAAGCATTGGAGTGTATAATTGAGGTCACCTGGATAAAAAATAAAAAAAAAATGAAAAACGACAATTTTACACCAGAAAGAATATGATAGGAAACACAAGAAAATTTTCAAAAGAAAGGAACATTATCTGCTTTACATTATTTATAGAANTTTTATTTATATCTACAAATCGCTCCTAATTTAATCTTGTTTTATTATAAGAAAAAGCCATATATAATTTATTGATTAAATTATTTGTTTTAACTTCGCATGTCATAATAAAAATCGGAATCGGAGTTATTAAAACCATGAGATCTGCTACGATGAAATCTGCACAAACAAAACATGTCTGATTTATAACCCCCGTGCCAAAATAATTTCTTAATAAAAATGGAATTTTCAAAATCGTGCCTTTAAACCTTTAAAAAAACAAAAATAATAAAAAAAATTCATTTAAATTTAAGATTAAATCAGGACAAATAAAACATGTAAAAAAGTGATAAATTAAGTGAGCGATTTATAACTAACCAATTGTGTTAAAAAAATTAGGGTTTTAAAAACCATATAGAAATGGGTAGTTGTAACTGCCAAAAGAATGATAAAAAAGTGATTTCTCAAATTTGAAATAAGTGTATCATAATATCGTATCAAAAATATTAGGTTTTTTAAAAACCAGGGAGGATTCCCACGCAATAACTGCAGAAAAATCGATCGGGAAAGAACATAGATTTAGAAACTAATCAATTCAAATTGAGCATGTCAAAAAGTGACGACTCAAATGTGTGATTCAAAATTGTAATTTTTTTTATTTTTCAAATTTTTTTTTTCCACAAGCTTCTGCAGGGCACAGTAAGCCAGTTCTACACCTTTAATCTATATTATCTAATACTACATCTAAAAATATAAAGAAACCAAAAACTATTATTTTTTTTATATAATATCATACTGCTACTTAGAAGAATAATCATGATTTGCAGAAGAATAAAATAATACTCACGCAATTGAGTTGCCTTTAGTCTGAATAGTAGCATTCCAATTAAAGCATTGGAGTGTATAATTGAGGTCACCTGGATAAAAAATAAAAAAAAAATGAAAAACGACAATTTTACACCAGAAAGAATATGATAGGAAACACAAGAAAATTTTCAAAAGAAAGGAACATTATCTGCTTTACATTATTTATAGAAACACAAAGAAAAAATTAAGAAAAGCAATTTAAAAAAGAGATACACACTAATATACCTATAAACACATGTTAGCATATTAATATATAATTAAAATTATATATTTCAGTAGAAGTTAAGAGTTTTGAGTAGAAGAAACAAGTTCTTACCTCATCTTAGTATTTTCTGTTATTTGAGAACTCAAGAAAAGGAATTTTAAAATACTCATTAAAAACTTTAAACAGGATAAAGATTATTATTATTTTCGTGTTAAATTTTTTTATTTCTACTGTTTCAACTTTTCTTTCAATGAACATTTAAAGTCTCTTAACTGCATTAAATTCAAATAATTTGTTTGTCAGAATTGCCGAAAGAAAAAATTATTATAAATAGCACACAATCAGCATTTCTTATATATATGTCGACCAGGTGGCCGAGTGGTTAGCGTGCCTGACTGTGAAGCCAATAGCCGCGTGTTCGAACCCTGCTCTGGGCATGAATGTTTCTCTCTCTCCGTGTTGCCTTCTGATGCGTGAACGTATGAATGTGGCCCACTCTATGAACGGGTCTTTGTGGCAGTGTAGCGTGGGTAATGCTGCTTGCCTTTGTGACTTTGGTTCACAGGTGCCCACTGGGTAACGATAAATGAGCAACACTTCCGGCATCTTCTTAGGCGAGGAACGAAAGTTCAGTGCCTGCCATTATTATATATATATATATATATATATATACATACACACACACACGAAACTTTTAAGTTTTATTATACCTTGATTCTTCAAGCAAAAGAGTGATGGCTTAGATAATTATTAGAATGTTGCAAGTTCTTTTTCCATTATAAAAATTTAGAATATTTTCTATAAAACTGAGCTTCCAGTACTTTTTTTAGTAACAAATACTGGTCAATTATTTTAAATACATTTTTGTAACAAAACGGCTTTATTTTCAAAATGATTTCCATTTAACATAAGAAAATTTTAAATTTTTTTTTTAAATGGAATTTAATATTAAACTTAAATTCCATACAAAAATTAGTAGAAATACTATGAAAATTTAGTTTCTTGTCCCACGGATTAAGGATCAGCAACTAATAGATTTTCACTAGTTTCTATGACATTAAAATAAAATTAACAAGCACAATATTGAAATTTTTTGTAAACTTAAGAAAAAGAAAAATTATAAATATATACATAAAAAAAACACTAATAAAAATTAGAAATTGTTAATAATAAAATTTAAGATTAAGTTTTAATAGTTTTAGTTTATTGTTACATATTTACCATTGAAACTTTAAAAAAAAAAGTTAAAAGAAAATTAAATGAAAAATTACAAAAAATGTGACACATTTAAAATGATTAAGAAAATAAACCAATATTCAAGTTGATTAAGAAAAATAAACCAATATATCTTAACAGAAATACAGATGAAATTTTTTGACAGAAGTACAAACCAATTAACTACATCAACAAATATTTATTCAACTGAAGATTACTGGTAAGAGGGAACACTGACTATTATTTCAAAGTGGTCAGTATTTCAATAATCTCAGCCCAATATCAATTTTGTGCCCTATTCATAAATAAATATAAATATATAAATGCCATTTATTAGGTTTGTTGTTATGATTGTTTCTGTTTCACAGAGTTCTAAGTTTTTTTAAAAGGGTGACCCACTCTACCTACCCTTTTGCAGGAGTTATTGACAAATGGGGAAAATTTCTGTATCTTAATCAGTAGCAGAATAATCGTCAAGTCTTGGCAACTTCCAGGCAGCTGCCTGTGAGATGCCCCCCCCCCCCCAANCCCCCCCCCCAATAAAAAAACATAACAGAAACAGACTAACTCAAAGAGTGTAACTAATAGCCATCCCATGTAAACATCTACACGTTTTTTTACAAAAAAAATTTTCATTTAAAATTAGTTTGGTACCTTGGCGATTGTAGTTGGCATAGCAGATGGAAATTTTCCCATTAAATGCACACGATTCTTACCGTTTTGGTACAAATGTTGTCCTCACTTTTTTCATAATAGAAATGATCCTTTTTTTTACTTAAACAAATAAGATTGCAGGAGAGAAACAATGAACTTCAGATTAAAACAAAAACTGCAAATTATTTTTAGGCTAAGTTAATATGCATAAAATATTATTTCTCATATTTATTGGTGCATTTTGAAGAGCACTAAAGCCTAGTTAAATGTAATTTATATCATTTACAAGATTAATGCCCTTTAAACCTGAAGATGCCTTTGTTTTTGAAAAGAAGCACCTCATTCTTTTTTTATTTTTAGGGCAACCTCGCAGTTTTATTCAGGTCTAAAACTGATACAAGTCAAATTCCCAGAATAAACGTTGCATGGTTACTTTATATTTTACAATATTAATTCAAATATTGCATAATTTTAGAATATTGTAAAATAAAAAGATATTGCCATAAGTAGAGGCAAAAACTGCAATATAGAAATTCCCCAAAATTTCGAAGGATTTAAAAGAAAATAGGGGAGAGCAAAAAAAAAAAAAGACTTTCATAAACTTTTAGAAAAAAGTTTATGAAAATTTTTTACGTTCGAATTTAAATATTCACAATTTTCAGCATCTTCAATCACGTATTAACACTAAAAGCGTATTTTCATTAGTGAAACTTAGATATAGTCAAAAATACTTCGGTCAAAACAATAAGGAATAATGTCTTCAAAAAGTTTAATTACCATCCTCTTCATTTATTGAGCATGAGGTATTTATAGTTAACACTAAAAATAATAATGCAAGATTAAAACGATTAGTTTTCTTATTTATTTCCATTATCATTAAAATAATTAAGAATCATGATACAAATAAGTACCCAAATTTATCAATTGAACAAAGAGCTTTCTCAGGACAAAGTTGAAGTTAGTTTTTATATAAAAAGTTTCTAATATTAAAAGCTTTACCGCTTGTAACCTTTAAATTACTATTAAATTAATTTGTTATAAGAAGCAGATATAAGTAGATGGAAACGTACAATTAATAAATATTATTTTATGGCCTTTAAACCGAGTAGAAATGGAAAATCGGATATGTTCCAACTTATAAATAAATAAACAAACAAATGAAATTAACGCTCATTCCATTTTCTTTTTCTTTCTTCACCAAGTTATGGAGTGCTTGAAATAATAATTTGTATTTCAATTTGATGTAGTTCTACAATATTATCTTCTGTGACGATTTTATCTTGATGTTCAGAACTGAGCTCATGTATTCAAAAGCCGTTGACTATTTTCCAAAATTGTTGTTTCATCTTTACTGTTTCTATGGGTCTATTTTCATTAACATTGCTTGATGTTTTCAATAATAGCTTCCAATTCAATTATTTACTATGCTCATTCTATAATCGGTTCTTCTATTTTTTTTCCTTCTAAATTCTTTGAATGTCCTGCTAATTCCGAGAGATTTTATATTTTAGAATCTTAATTTGAATACTGAATAATTTTTGAATATTGTTTTAGAAAAAAAAGATTAATTCTATTGTATGGGATTGATTATCTCTCATGCAACTTTCTTTATAAACGTAAGCCATATCTTTTTAATATATCCTACAGCTGGAAAATTTTATTTCTTAAGTAGAATTCTTTGCCACAAACATCATAATATGTGGAGTTTAATTGACATAAATAATGCATTTCCTTGCATTACATTTATTTGATTTAGCTAAAAGTTTAATTCTAAATTCGCTACATAAAATGTATCATAATACACTAGAGCCAGAATTTCTGTGCAAGCATCTAGATTATTAGGTGTTTTTGTAAAACCAATAAAGCTGTTCAGCGTATCTATTAAAATAATGCAACTGATAACACATTTTAATTGAGCATGTAGTTATTACAAGTTCATTTGGTTCTACAACATTACAAATATTATTGTTTGGTGCATATCTATTTTGCCTTTGCAAATAAATTAAGCTGTTTTGTATATTAAATTTTTAAAAATTTATTCAACTGAAAAAAAAACAAAAAAACAATTGAGTTTATGTTTTTTTTTATCTGTGATTATATTGCATGGGCCAGCAGAATAGATTAATATTTATTTGTTTACTATGTTATCACATGTTTTTAGTTTAAACTGGTACAACTAATATATAAAGCCACAGTAGAGCAGAATTGCATTAAAAAGTAGTCAATTATAAATATGAAAAAAATTGGTTTTATTCTAAAGAATATGGTGCACTGCTAACAATATTTTTTTTCAGTGTCTTTAAATTTACAAAATTAATTTTGGAGCTATGTACCTTGGTTCCAATTTTCTTAGATGTTATTGTATCATACAAATTTTGTCAGCAAAAACTTAGATGTACAGTACAGAACCCGTTATCCGGAAATCAGAAAACCGGAAAACCAAAAAACCGGAATGAAATTCGATAAATTTTACCGCCATTTTTGAAAAAAAAATTTTTTTTTTCCTCTAAAGTTTTTAGGATTTTTCTTTCTTTTTTGAAAGATGTTTACCATACCATCATTTTGGAAATAATCATTAGTGTATTACTCCATCGTTTTTTTTTCTTTTTAAGATTATTTCCACAAAAAAAAATTTTTTTAGTTGGGTTTAACAATAAAAAAAACGGCTTTTTCTAGCGATTCAGAAAACCGGAAAAATCAGTTATCCGGAATAGCGATGATCCCGATCGTTCCGGATAATCGGTTCCCTACTGTATTTCCATAATTCTATCTATTTGTACAAACTGAAATTAACAAAATATATAGGGAAATCATCCCTTTGGAATAAGTTTTAAAAGAGGGTATATTTATCGATCAAATTTATAATATTCTCTGATGTTATATTCTAATATTTACCTACCACCAAATTCCGAAATTGTACTAATTAAAATCTGAAATTCTCGCCTACCCTACTGTATTTCTTTGAGTGTTTTTAAAACTTAATTATTTTGATGCAGGTACTGATACTCAAAATTTTCCAGAAGCCCTACATTGAATTAAAAATAAAAAAATCCTAACTTTCTAATGATGTAGTGTCACTTTACAACTTGTTACAACATTCTAACATTTCTCAGCTACATTGAAAAATAGTAATTGTTTTCTGGTGAAAATCCTCAAATCACTTCAACCAGGTTTGGGGTTTTGGACGTCCTTAACTGGTTTTGGACAGGACACGTGGGTTTTACTGTCTTAAACTGGGTTAAACTGTCCNTGTCTGAAAGCAAATTTTTATACCAGGAGAAACTTCTTTCAACGTCTACTGATGTTATTGGTGCGTACTTGAAAAGGACGGTCACACTTACTGACTATCTTCTTCAATTTGAAAAGATGTTGCTTCACCTGTTAATATCCTAGAGATTTTCTTCATTGTTTGGAAGTCAGTGCAATAATAAAAAATAATAAAAATTACAAAAAATTAACAAAGAAATTTAAAAAATGCTTTAAAATGCAAAATACGCCCCAAAAATTAAGGAAAATGCCCTATAAATCTCAAAAAATGCTCTAAAGGACAAAAAATGTCCAAAAATGCAAATGTCATCAAAATCCGGGCCTTACTGATAAATAATATTTTTGCATAAGGATAAATAATGCAATACTAAAAAATATTTTTTTTAAAAAAAATACTAAATTTGTTTAAAAATTAACCTTTTATTTTTCACAATATTTTTTTAAAAAGTTATAATTTCTGCATCACAGGATGATTAAAAAGACATCTATTTTTTAAAAAAATTGTTTTTAAATATGAATATATTAGTTTAAATTGAAAATATAAAATAACTGAAAAATGTATTAACAGTTTTGAAAGGCATCAGTTTCAGTTACTGACACTAGTGATGTATCACCACTATGCTAAAAGAATTGAACATGAATGCAATAACAGTATTCTTGAATAGTACTATAGGTAAATAAACCTGTTTATGACTAATCAAGCACTTAGTCCCTAATAGCTGAACCTGTATGGCAAGGTCCAACTTAAGTTATGTACTATTGAATGAGAGGACCAATTGAACTTGATTACTTATTAATCTTCCTTTGTTTAATGTTTAAATTGAAGAGTCAAACAATATTAATAAAACATTATACTTTTAAAAACAATTATTCTGTAGTAGATTTAATTATTAATATGTTATTAGTTCTATGTTTATTTTACTTCTTTAATATTGTTCAGATAAAATTTTGTCATAATTTGAGTAAAAGGGTTTTGGACAAAGGGGTTTTGGACAGAACGGTTTAAACCGTGGATTAATCCATTCTGTCCTAAACCTTGCCAACCCTGACTTCAACTTTTGAGTTCATTTGGTTATAATTGATAGGTAGGCTTTATGAGTGTAGAAATTTAAAATGTTGGAGATTATCTCTGTTTAATATATTCCATTTATTAACAGATGTAAGCAAAGAAAAGTGGTAGAAAACAAAATTTATTATAAATTTTATACATGCTCCTATATTGTTTTTTTTAAATTTTTTTTTATCAAACTTGATGATAGTAATATAATTATCTTAGATGATTATATTACTATCTTATTACTGTAATACTAAAATTTATAATAATTGCCTAGTTGTGAACAAAATAGTATAATGCACAGTAAGCATTTAAAACTGTTAAGTAAGATTAATATTTAATTTCATTTTCTATTTGGTTAGTATAGATTTAAAACATTTATTTATATCAAAATTAGGAAGTCAATTGTTTTTATATCTTAACACTTATTTTGAATCTGTAACTAAAACCTACACATATCATTTAAAATTTGGTAAGTTAAGAAGATTGATTCTGTTCGCTATTAATAAAGCTGATATTTCTGAAGATTTATCTGCTCCTAATTTTATGTGTATTTGTGCAGAATTTTTATTTCTTTAAAATGAAAATTCTTTAAGAACATTAAAAAGACTATACTTCGTAATATTTTAAGTGAATTTTTAAATTTTGTGACTACTAACGTATGTTTTATAAACTTTATTAAACTCTATTGATCTTCCTAATTTTTGGTTTTGCTATTGTAATCATGGAACTTTGTTGCTTGTAATTCATATCAGGCATTTTAACTCAAATTTAAAATGGGAAATTTATGAAGAATTTCTTTGGATTCAACATTATTTCTATGCAATAAATGCAGAACTTATAATATGTATTTATTTTAACTCTCATTCTTTGCACACATAACATATTATAGGTAAAACTTATTTTTAAAAAATGGCAACTTTTGTTAATGGCTACCCCCAGTTGTAAGGTGTTCGGATTTCAATTACTAAATTGGTATCTGTGTGAAGTTTCCATCAAAAAATGAAATATTTTCATGTATAAACAAATGGTATATCAAAATTTTCTTATGTTTTTCCTTAAATACTTAATAAGTATTCATGTTTATTGTTTGAAATTTATGGAAACACATTCATATTGTTTAAATTTTTGCAATACAATTGACAGTAACATATTTCTTTTTAGATTTGGATGAGAGTTCTCAGTACTATGATGCAAAACTGTGTTATACAAGAAATTCATCAGACCTGTTCAGTGCTGTTTTTGACTGTACTTTATGTGGGATGATTTTTCAAAATGAAATGCTTCTTAGAAAGCATGAAAAAATACACATTGTTCATAAGCGTTATAAATGCCCATTTTGTGATCATTCAACAGCAAAATATTGCAACTTGAAGGAACATGTCGTGTATAAACACACTCGAAACTTCCCTTATGTATGCTCCTTGTGTGGTAAAGGGTTTACTGCGAAAAACCGTCTTTATTATCATAAAATTAGTGTCCACTCTACTTCATAAGTAATTTTAAGTTTGAATTGTGTATTTGGACAAATATAGTCGAACTTGTTTATTGTGCAGCTAATTTAACAAGATTCAGTGTGTCATACCATTGTATGCATTATAAAAATTTTAATTTTGTTTAATAGTCTTATTTGAATAGGAATTAAATTCAATAAATAGAATGTCGCTCTCTATCTGCCAATATATTTACATAAGTATTCTAAGGTTTTTATCAGAATATATCTATCTCTGAATAAGTTAAAATTTAAAACCCTTTTCATAGTAATTTACTTGTTTCTTGATAGATTGCTTGTTAAGTGATGATTAGAAACTGTTTTAGGTGGTTTTTCTTCACTTATTTTCAAAATTAGTTTTTTTTTTTTTTTCAAAATTTTCTTAACTTATTTTCAAAATGAGTTTTTCTTCATAAATTTTAAAATTTTCTTTGAATGAATGCTTCTATAAATAAGACTACTAAAAGGTGTTATGCGATAATCATTAGAAATGGTTAAAACCCTGTACAAAACTGTTATTACAATCATAACTTAGATTTAATGAAGAATTTTTCATAAATTTCTTGAAAATTATTTTTGTGAAGTTATCAGAAAAAAAAGTATCTAACTGTTTATTTCCAACAAAAACAAAAGGTTTTTGTTGTAATAGATTGTTGTTTATGGAACATCATGTTGCTCATGTTTCTGTATGCATATTATATTTTTAATCAAATGTTTCATTTCTTAAATTTCAGATTATGAGTGTTGAAGAATGGCAGAGAATTAAATCACAAACAAAACTCACATGCTTTCCTCTACAGTTAAAATAAAAGCAATAAAAGTTAATTTTGTAATTTTATATTGTGCATAGATTTTTTTTATTACTATAATTTTTGTTTACTTGTTATAAACAGACATCCTGATTTAATCAGCTGGTTTCCTTGATCTCTTTTAAATAAATTTGTCTGTTTATTGTAATGGCTTGTAAGCAGGGGTTGGAATTTTATTAAATTTATAACATTAAAAGAAAAAAGTTTTTTTTAAACCTATTTTTAGAAATAATTAGCAGAGATCCAGATTTTCTATTTTTTCTCTGAATTTTAGTTTCGACTACCAATTCAGTTATAAAAAGCTTTTGAAGGCAACAAATCAAATAAATAAATTTTTTAATTTATCCCTCATTTTCTGGTACTTTTTTCAAATTTTTTTTTTAAAATTTAGGGACTACTTTATTTATTCAGGAATTAAATTCAATGTATGTCTCCCATGTATAATTTTATTATCTCAGGTACTTAATATTTATATATTAAAAATAATGCAACTTGTGAAATCTCAATTAAATTCTTGATCCCCATGGCAGAAACACGGCGACACAGCGACATTGTCGCAGTAAGCGACTGAGTTCTTGCAGAAAGATTTTTTTTATTTGGGAAATAAAAATTTTTGGTTTGCCATAAACAAAAGTTCTCAAAAAAATTCTGCAGAAACAGAGACTGTTTTACCAAAAAAAAAAAAAAAAAAAAANTTTTCAATATTACTCGCAAGAAAAAATCTTCACTGCTATATAATTATAACTACTGGAGAATAATGTTATAATTTGGCAGCTTTGTGTAATGCCAAAATTACAAAGAATTTCAATTGCCTTCCTATTGGGTGTTCCAAGATTCACCATAATTTTATAAAATAAATTTAAGAAAATAATAATAATTGAAAGAAGGTAAAAATTTATAGTTTCTTGCGCTCTGCTTAGAAAACCAGTTCTTTATCCTAACACGTTTTCAAGTGCAAAAGTTATCAACAGATGAATGACACTGCTAACTGAGAAAAGCTATCAAACAATGTTTTCAAAATAACCATCTTTCGCATTATCATTTTGGTGTGGTCTGATAGCAACATTGACATATGACCATGTATTGTCACTAATTTTGAAATTTAATGAGAATGTTATAAAATTATTATTATAAATTTTTTTTGTCGAAATGTAACAAACTTTACAATTGTATCTCTTTTTTTTTCTTTTACATGGGTAATTTTATCAATACCTAGAATCAAAATACTTTATTTATTCAATATATCTATGGCAAGTGCTTTTGGTTTAATAGCCTAAGAAAATGTTTTTAAAACTAGTGAGGTGTTTGAGAGAAAAAAGTTGTAAACTGTATGTTCTTCCGATGTATATGTTATATATTTTATCCTGAAGTTTTAGAATTTATTTTCTGATTTAATTTTTGCTTATTTACTACTTCTTTTGAAATAAAAATGGTTTTTTGCAAAATACACATTTTATTTATGTATATATTTAAGCTTGAAAGTAGAGTGTTGAATGTTTATATGTCTATTGAAATTCTGCAGTTTTTAAATAAATATTATATAATGTTTCTGTTTATTTGAATTTTTCATGCTATGCATAATATGCCATACTGCACATTTTGAAATAAGATTGCAAAACAAAAATGTAATACCATTACAGTATGAAATGATTTAATTTTTTTTCTTTATTTTTCCATTTTAGGGGTAGTCGGATCATACTTCAGGCTAGGTCAATTGCTAAATGTTAGACAATTTTCTTGCTCCATTTGTAGTAAAACATTCAACCGAAAAGACTCACTCAAGGTACATGAACGAATTCACGATGAAAAAAAAGCTTATAAATGTCATCATTGTAGCTATAGTGCAACTCAACTTGTTCATTTAAAAAACCACATCGTTAACAAACACACAAAGAAGTATCCATTTGTTTGCAACATTTGCTCTAGAGGATTTACGTCTAAAATACGATGGGAATTTCATCTTCAACAATGCTTATATCAAAAGAAGTAAAATTAATAAAAGTAGTAACAATTCAAATGACTATTGTAAGTATGTAGAACTATGTATGGGATTTTCAAAAATTAAAAATCATATCAAAAATATTTTGTGCTTAGCTGCATTTTTTTTATTTATTTATTATATCTAATGATATTTATTTTTTATTATATGTTTTTTAAGATACTTGTAATGTTTTGTTTTTCTTTTGATTATTTTAATTTTAAATATGTGTTAGAAGATTTTGTATTAAAAGTATTTTAAGAATTATAATTCTTAGCTACTGAGTTCATCTTAAGGTATGGATGAGTTGACTGTAGCATAATAGTTTTTTTTTGCACTGTGTGTAGTAAAAATCCTAATCAAGTAAGATTATTTCACATGACAAAGTTTGAGTTTATAAAAAAAAAATTTCAGATTTTTTTATTATGCCCAAGGTCATTAGTTCTAATTGCTGTTTTTGCTTTATTGTCATTGTTATTATTTACCTATTGCTGTAAATTGTATTTATAACAGCTAATAAACTTTAGATTTTTTTTTCAAACTGAAAATTGAATTTTTAGAGGGGGGGGATTATCACTTGAATTTGATTATAAAATTCAGGAATTTAATTTAATTATTGAAAGTGAAATGAAAGAATTCTTTCCCAAAAACTCTTAAATTTTTTTTGTAAATTTGCTTGTTTTATATTTGTTAAAAAACAAAAAGTCAAATTAAATAAAAATTATTTTTGGAACATTATTATTCTTAAATATTGTTTATCAGTAATAAAATTTTTGTCAATTTATTAATTTGAACATATTTTTTTTAATTGCTAAGCATAAAAATATTTTGTTTTTACATTTGTGAAGTTTTTCTAATGTAAATATATTTCAGTGAAAAATATAAATAAAATAATTATAATCTACTAAACAAATTTTTACCTTGCTGAAAAATATATTGCAATTCTTTACTATTTCACAGTGCTATATATATTTTGAAGAATTCTTTTATTTAAACACCCATAATTTTATTTAAAAATAGGTCTTCATTTTTAAGTATACTTAAAAGACTAAGTATACTTAATTTCATTTTTAATTCATTGAGAAAATATTGTTATTCTTTTTCATGAAAGTTATAGATATTTGTTATTAATATTTAAAATATTATATTTTCTTTGGTACATTATATTTAAGAAAATCTTATCCCTAAATCTAATATATATACCTTTTTTTTTAGGTTCTTATGAATTTTCATCTGAAGTAGAGGCTGAAAAATGGTCTAGTTTTTACCATTGTTCCTATTGCGGAAAGCAATTTGCTCGTCGGGATAATCTGAAAGTCCATGAAAGAATACACACAGGACAAAAGTTATATAAATGTACATTTTGTGACCATAGTGCCAATCACCTCTCTAATTTGAAAGTTCATATTAAGCTTAAACATACCAAAGGAACTATGAAAGTGTGTTTTATATGTAAGAAAGGATATTCAACAAAAAGTTACCTTAAAAAACACATGTTTGTTGCTCATAATTACTCAAATGATTTGTAGTAATAATAGATTTTTATTAAATGAATATTTACTAATTTTTTCTTCATGTAATAGATATAGATTAATATTATATAATGGTTCTCTTTTTCCTATGCATTAAATTTTGAACTATATAAAGGTTGTCGCAAAAAAGTCGTAGCAAACTTTTAGGGAAGTTTGGGTGCATCGTAATGATTAAAAATTGTGTAGCAATCCATTACTGAATGTTGCTGTAAATCTCTAGACAGCCCTTTACGTCTTGCTAATTCTTACCTGTGAAGTTTTACTCACTTTAAAGAACTTATTTCCTAATGGTAGTGCATGTTAAATAGTCACAGTTAACCAACCTTTAAAACTATAAAGATAAATAGCAGGCCTTCTATATGTGTATGTTTAAATGTAATGGCACTCAAAGTCATTTTTAATAAAATTTGTTCAAATACGAATGGAGTATGAATGAAAAATTTTTTTATATGTTAAAATGTAAGAATTAAATCTTCCAAAAGAGTTGTAAGCATGCCAATGTAATGCTTTTGTTAACCTATAAACACTATGGCTGCCAGTTGCCCTCGCTATTACCTGATTTATTGAGTCTCGATTTCTCCTTGTGGAGAGCTCTCATATCTCTTGAGCATGTGAAGTTTATTATGAATCTTCAGGCTAAATTTGTTTATGTTGTTGCTTTGATATCCTGCCTGGTAATCAATGCTTTGATGGTATTTGACATGCTTACTATTGTACGGTGCAAACCTCTGATGCAGAAAGTACTCAAATCTGTAACATACGTTGCTGAGCAGTTTATGTAAGAAGTAGAGTTATTTACATTCACATCCTTGAAAAACAAATTTATGCCTTATAAAATATAATATTCTGTAAATAATTTTGAACTTAAACTTAAATATTTTAACCTTAAATAACTTTTAAACTTAATTTGATTTTTAACTAAGGCTACTTTTTTTTGCCATTTTTAGTTTGAAAATTAAAATGATTCATCATTTAAAAAAGTGCTAATAATTTAACAAGGGAAAGCTCTTTATTTTTCGCAATACCTGCAAATAATTAGTAATTATCAAAAATCTTATTACAAAATATAAGATATAGTTCTGTTGGTGGAAAACTTCAAGCATCTGTTGTTGCATTATAAATTGTATTCATCTAGTATGGTTCTTGCTCTCATGGTATCCGATAAATGTTTTCTTTTGATCACTTTCTTGTCTCTGTTCAGATCTATCATTGTTATCATTTTATCCTGACTTTTCTGATCATGGGTAGCTATGTGATTCTCCATCCTTTTGATGTACCCTACCTTCCTTAATCGTTAGTTACATACTTTTAAAGACTACCTGTTTATAAACTGTCTACGATTATTATTCCTATAAAGATATTTTTATGTATTCTGCTCTATTCTGGTACTATTTCAGTTGTTGGTTTAGTACCTATTATATTCATATAGTAAAGTAGATTCTTTTAGTATGCTAGATGTAAAGGAGAGGGTACTAAAGGTGTTAACTTTTATTTTTATGTGGTTGGAATATAGTGTTAAATGCAAACATGTTTGGGGTTTCAGTTTTATTGAGGAAAAACAAAAGATGTTTCCATTTATAAGTAAAATATTTTAGAGAATACAGAGAATTTTTTTATTGTTATAAACGTATTTGTATATTAAACGAGTCAGTTTAGTTATTGTTTAAAATATCTGAATTATTTATATTCCTGAAAAAAATTATAAAGTAATTGAGTCTAAAAAGTGTTATAACTATTTTTAATTTATGAATAATCTGATATTTAGTTAGCCTGAAAATGTGATAAACAAAATCAGTCCTTTTTATAAGATTAAAAGACATAAAGATAAGATTATTAATTTTTATCCACATTTTATTTTTTAAGTTTTTATTTGGGTATTTTAATATGTATACAAATGGAATACTATATACATTGTATTCATGAATTTAAAATTATAATATCATGCATAGCTCTAGATCGTTTCTAGTTAAACAGATTTTCATGTAACTTTACACCTTAAACATTTCTGTGTAGAACAATTCAACAATGTTGTAATTGCCTTATCAGTTTATATTTTTCATAATTCAAAATCTGAATGAATTGAACTGTTTTAATTTCCGCTTTGAACCTGAATCATACTACATTTATTTATCTTAAATTTTTTAAATTATATTTAATCTATTTATATTCTAAGGGGAAATGAATGTTATAAATATGTATTGCATGATAACACTTTACTGAAAACTAGCTTAAAATAATATATTTACTCAGGATTTTTAATATGTTTATTTATTGTGAATTAAGTGTTGTGAAATGTATCTAGTCTATTGAACAGTTACTTTTGATTTTTTGAAGTATTGGATAAGCTTTTACTTATTGTAAGTGTTTTAATTTATTGTTTAATTTTGTACAGTATGTAAATTACTTTAACACTATCTTTGTTTTATAGTTTTTAGGTTTTTTTGTCCTTAGAAATAAATGTTTCTATGTCATCAAACTGTTTCTTGTTTTATCTATTGCAAAATTTATATCTTTAATTTATTTTATTTGTAATATTATTTGTGATGCGAAAAAGTTTGGAACCACATAGACTTTTTGCTACTACATAATAACTAGATATCAGTAGAATAGTGTATGGTTAATTTTTTTTTAAATTAGTGATGAAGTTCCTGATCCAATATGGAGCTTTGTTAAGTCATTTTTATGAAAGGGTTAATTCTTTGAGAGTTAGTTCCGGCCTATACCAAATCTCAACTTGACTGTCATCTTGCATAACAAACATATTTTTCATTAAATTATACATAGGGAAATAATATATAAAGGGAAAAACTTCATATGCACTTGTTTGTATCTTTAATGCTCAGAAGATCAATTTAAATTTATTTTTAAACTTATTTAATTTTAGATGAAATTTATATTAAATGGAATTTATATTAAAGACATTATATTAGTTGCTTAGCTTTTTTGTTGATAAAAAGGTTATTATTTTTGTTATTAATCTATTACTTTTTATTGTTTTAGGGCTCATACAAATTGATTCCATTCTAAAAGCACACTTAGAATATCAGGACAATGGTATTACATTTTTCCATTGCTCAACTTGCGGTAAAAGCTTTAATCGACGTGATAATCTTAAAGTCCATGAACGAATTCATGCTGGACAAAAATTTTACAAGTGTGACTATTGTAATCATCAATCAAATCAACTCTCCAACTTGAAAAAACATATATTTTTGAAACATACTAAAACATGTTCTGAAATTTGTCATATTTGCGGCAAAAGTTATTCTGCTCAAAGTTTGTTGAAAAACCATATGTCTAAAGCTCACTCGTTCCATTGAAAGGCATTCCTTTTTTCCAAGAGATGATATATAGTTAGTAGCTTTTATGTACAACATCTGTAGTTTTAAAAAATATTAGTTTTCCCATTTGAAGATTGTATAATGAAAATTGCTAATCGCGTTAATTTGACATTTGATTCATCTTTATGTGTTTTATATGTTTTTACCTAAACATTTTATTTGAGTTTTTGGTTGTTGTTAAATTTTTTGTTTATCATGATATATTTTTATTAATATATTTTAATTTTGTGTCACTCATTACATTTTCTCTTATAATATCTTCACAAATTTTACTCTGCTCTTTAAACATACTCTAAATTTTTTATTTATTTTAGAGTATAAAATTTCAAATTTAATTGCTAAGATGAGCAATCATTAAAAATGTTCTAGTCTTAGCAGTTTTAAGTGTTTAATTTAAACATTAAAATGTTATAGATTTATTTCGATCTCATTGATTCATTTCACTTTAGTAATAGTATTTTAAGGTGTTTACATACAGTACTAGTGAGAATATCATTGCGAGAGTTTTAGAAGCTCACTAAACAAAATGCACTGATTCTGAAAAAGAAACTTTACTTATACAGTAGGGAACCGATTATCCGGAACGATCGGGACCATCGCTATTCCGGATAACTGATTTTTCCGGTTTTCTGAATCGCTACAAAAAGCCGTTTTTTTAATTGTTAAACCCAACTAAGAAAAAATAATATTTGGAAATAATCTTAAAAAGAAGAAAAAACGAAGTAATACACTAATGATTATTTCCAAAATGATAGTAAGGTAAACATCTTTCCAAAAAGAAAGAAAAATCCTAAAATCTTATGAGGAAAAAAAAATTTTTTTTTTTTAAATGGCTGGAAAATTTATCGAATTTCGTTCCGGTTTTTTGGTTTTCTGATTTCCGGATAACGGGTTCTGTACTGTACTTACATATGCTAGTGCTGGAGAGTCACTACAAAATCTTAAAACAGCTTTTCGAAGCTATAGCAGGTACACTGATGATGAAACATTAAATGTATTAAGTATTTTATGGTTGAAAATGAAATAAAATGAATTTCAGCTATTCACCCAATATTACATAAATATACTTTCATCACTTTTTGTGTGTGTGTTTTTTAATGCTTAAGCATTTTGTGTTCAGATTTAATGACAGTTTTTCCGTTTTCTCAGTTCCTCATTAAGTAAAGATTCTATCCTACAATCTCATTTAATAATCAATCTGTAATAAAAACTTTCAAGGGTTTTTCTTAATTTTTATGAATTTTTATTTCAACAAAGGAATTTTATGAAGTCAATAAAATTATGGATCTGTAGTACCATGTTTCTATTTTTTTAGACATCTTATTTTCTGTTACACTTTTTTTAATTTATGCATTGATCTTTCTAGTTATTATTTATTTATTTTGAAATTTAGAAGCAAACCCTTTTTTGGCTTAGATATTTGTCCAATAATTAAATTTAATCAAGATAATTAGTACTTTTATAAACTCTATTTGTTAATTTTGAAATTAAGTATAAAAGAAAAAAAAATTTTTTTTTAATAAATGAAATTTTCTATTCACATTCTATAATGCACCTAAAGAGAGTGGTATAAATATTATCTTGATTAAGCCAAACAATTAACTCCATGTTTTGGAAAAATATTGCTACATACAAAATTGTTAATTGAATGTGTACTTATCAGTTAGCTAAGTTCCAGTTGAAAATCCCTGCTTCAACATAATCATTAAATTTTTAAAATATTTGTAAAATGCTGCTACTAAACTTAGTTGATTATATTGAAATTGTTTGTAATAAACTTTCAAGAGTTAATTTCTTAAGAAATTTTTTTTTTTTTTAAATTATGATGAATTACTGATGCATTGATAACAAAGCTTAAGAATTTTGCCACTGATTGACTGTTACACATCTAATTGATCTGAATAATCCAAATTGAAAAATTCATCAAGTTCTGATTTATTAAGCAACAGATATCCAATAAAGCATTATAATTATTTGATCAATTTGAAATAACTTTAAACAAAAAATTTCTTTTGTAATCAAGTAAAATCTGGGGTCCATTGTTAAGTAACAAAATAAATAAGTTTAAAAAAATAAAATTAAAAAGCTATCTTCTAAACTATTTTACTAGTGAAAAAAATAAAATAACATTCTGAAATAATTTTAAATGTAATAAAATAAAATAACACCTCGAATTTGCTAATTTTGTTTCTGCTCTGGGTGATATACAAAGAATGTAGAGAAATAACATTTCAAGTGGCATTTTGAAAATATATCTTTCAGTTTTAACATTATGTTATGGATGTAGTATTTTATCTAATATCTTACTTTTCTGTTATTAAATATTTTACTTTTTCTGTTTTTAGATAAGGCATTTATTTATTGAAAAAAAATTCATAAACACTATCCTTATGTTTCTATGAATAATTAATTTTCTCAAATTTTTTATTCTTCCGTAATAAAACCAAAATTATTGTAAATGAACAAAACATTAAGCTGTAAAAATTGTATCTTGGAATTTTATTTTAACTCTAAAAAACAGGGAATAGTCAGGGAAAGTTGCAATTTTTTACAAAAAGCCTGGAAAATTACAAGTCTTAGAATTTTAAGCAACAGTAGTTAGTTATTGAGATTCAAGTTAAATAATTCTAACATCTATTACAATTATTTTATAAAATTCCTCTTTTTAGAGAAACTTTTCCTAAAAAGATGTTTCCACTGTCATTCTATTGTTAGTTTTTACTCACAAAATCTAATATTTGATATTACAAAAAAGGAAAATTAAAGTTTTCTGAGGAAAAATTGCATGGTATATATAAAATAAGGTATGGATTTCCATTGAAATTTATCCGATATACCTGGAAAAGCCAGAAATTTGTTTCTTTCTGAAATTGAATGGGAACAATGCAGGAGTTTTGCAGATTGAGTCAGAAAAATCTAATGTCAATTTATTCCATTATTCTACTTGTTTCAAATGTTTCAGACAACTCAGCTACCTTAAGGATCATAAAAGAATCCATTCTGTTCAAAAATGCTAAAAGTGTAGTTATTGTAACCATAACCATCTTCCTATCATATTGGTAATAAGCATATGAATATTAATAGCATACATATTAATAGAAATTTAAATTTTTTAGGGTGATAAAGTTTTCATGAAAACAACTTAAAAGACAATAAACAACTCATAAACAACAAAACAACCTATACACAGCACATTTAGCTTTTCAAAGATGAGTCTTATTTAGGAGATTGGATAAAAAAAAATTTATTTTCGTAAGAGATAATAGATTATAAGTGTTAATATTCTTTTTTCAAAAAGTTCCACACCTGTTGTTTGATAGTTTTAAGTTATTATGATTAAAAACTGCTACTTTCCACTTTTTTGCTTAATAAATACCAATTTTATACCAATTACCTTTTTACCAATTTTATATTTTTATTACCTTATTTTAAAACTTAATAAAAAAATATATAAATACTAAAAAAGTAGAATTTCCTGAACAAATTTTTTTTACACTTTTTATTTTGCTATAATATATGTGTTTCGCTATAATATTTATTTACATCGTATATGTTTGTGAAAATTAGTATCACTATTTCATTCATTTCGAATGAGAAAAAAATATTCTTTTTTGTCAATCTGCAGTTGATATTTTCACCCATTTCCAAACAATGTTAAATCATTAAATCGTTGGTTTTATTATTCCTCTTGATCTGTTATTAATAAAATGTGTAATTACTTTTTGCGTTGGGGAACTTTAGCATTAGTATAGACAATTTAATTACTTATTAATAATATTATATATCTTCTACTTTTTCCCCTCAGTATAATGTTAATTTCTATTTGTATGCATAAAATGTTTTGTTTCTAATTACTGAGGCATTATAATGTTTATATATGAAGGTAATGATTCATTCTTTTAATACCAAAGTTAGATTAAACTACTCACTCTACGCACTACAGTTAAACTATTCACTCTAAAGATTTTTTTAAACTGCACCCTCTATGAACTCTGATCATTAATTCCGATTAACTTATTAAAAAAAAATTTTTTTTTGCTGTAAATTTGTGTAAAATTTTTTTTTCAAAAATGCTTTCATAAAAAGGCAATAAATCATTCTATTTAACTAATTTTAAATATTGTGAATTATACTTCTCATTTAATAAACTTGGATCTTAAACTTTTTTTCCTTGTTTGTTTAGTGAAAATAATTGTTTGTTGTAAATTTATGAAAATTATTGTAGAAAAAAATGGCATAGTTAAAAAGGATGTAAATCATTCGACTATAACCAAAACATAGTCAATAATTCTACTCACCCAATAAATTTAAATCTTTTTCAATATCCATAATTAGTTTAATGAAAATAATTTATTTGCAAAATTGTGTTAAAAATATTCTTTCTTTGTTTAAACATTGTGAGTCAAAAATATAGTTTGTGTGAGAAATCTTACATTTTTAAAAATAACTTTTTACTTTAAACTATTTATATATTCTTTATTTTAATATTGTCTATCTATTTTTAATTTCTATCTAAAAGGAAAATCAAAAATAAATTAAATTATGTTGTCGTTTTAGGACCAGTGTTTTCTTGCTCCACTTGTGGAAAGACTTTTGTTCATAAGACAAGCCTTTTATTTCATGAGCGAGTTCACTCTGGAATTAAACGATATAAGTGCCATCATTGTGACTACAGTGCTTTTCAGTCATCCAATCTCAAACAGCATATTGTGTACAGACATACTAGAAAATTTACCCATACTTGCTCACAATGTGGAAAAGGATTCATTGGACAGAGACAACTACAGCTGCATACTATAACAAAGCACTTTGAAAATGTGATGTAAAATTATGGTACAGGGATGCACAACCTATGGCTTGTGAATCAAAAGTGATCCATGAAGTCTTTTGACATAGTTTCTGAACTGTCTTGTTGTTATTGTAGGCAATTCAGGCAGAAGGGGTGCAATTGTCCTTATTTTCTAGTGGCGCCATCTATGGCCAAGAATTCGACTTCTGCCACACCCATACGTCACACCTGTTTTATATGGCAGACCCATTCACACATGCATTTATTCATGCACAGATTATAATTTTGACCAGAACCAACAAACGATCAGTCTCCATTCTGAACTGTCTTAAAAAAGCTAATGGAAAGAAATTTTTTCCGATATTTTAGTATTTAAAATCTTTGATCTAGTTCAGCCTCTTTAAAGTATAGGATACCAACCCAATTCCAATCACAACCATCTCATTAATTTGATAAGTATTAGTAACAAATTTCGTTTTCTCAATAATAGTAAAAATTAACTTATGTTTGTTTCTTGTTGCTCTTCTGTTTACTAATAAATTATTTTTAGTATATAACAATTTGCTTTCTAGTCATATTGCTATGCCTGTGTGGTTTTATTTACCTTGAATATTTCTATTTATTTTTCCAGTGAATGTGCAAAGAATTAGCTGTGCATTTTATAAAAAATAAATCATTCAGAAATATTTTAAAAATTATGTGACTAAGTTGCAGCAATTTAAAAAGAAAAAAAATTATGCAGGTGACTTAAAAAAATTAAAACAGAATAAAATCATTTAAATTGAAAATAATACAGGTTTCATTTTCTGACTTGTTTTAATTAAAAATTTTCAAATATTAAAGTAAGAGTTTAACTAAGTTACTAAAAGGATTCTTAGAAATGAAAAAGAAGATGAAGTTGCAAGAGAAAAAAAATTGAAATGATAAATTTATCTAGTTAATGAAGACATTTTAGGGGGGGGGACTGTGTGAATATTTGGCAGTTATAAAGTTGTCTGCATCTTCTAGATCAGTGTTTCCCAAAGTGTGGTACGCGTACCCCTAGGGGTACGGGAGCAGTTTAGCGGGGGTACGCGTTCTTATGCGAAATATTTTGCAACAAACGGAAATTTCAAAAACTTTTATTTAAAAATAAAGTTAGCCATGAAAATTTACGATTACGTATTTTTCTATTAGCTATTTTTTGCAAAGTTAAAAATTAATAATTAGTGGTGTCAACAGCCAGTTGTGATTTTTAACTTTTGTGCAATTTTTTATAGTAAAAAATACATTCATTTTTTATTAGTGGTACACAGCTTTACGAAAAATTTAGAAAGGGTACACAAAAGTTATAAGTTTGGGAAACACTGTTCTAGATCTTTGTATAATTTGTATGACCCTTTATATTTGTCATATCATTCATATTACTTTCTAATAGAATCTAAATTCAGACAATCTCTTTATAATTGCAGCTTCTTGTTAATGTTAGCACCAGGGTTGAGTTTTTGACATCAAAAACTAATTTTTTACATGTCATGTTACGTGACATGTCAAAGAGTGTTAAACTGTTGAAATCTGTCAAAAACCTGGGGAATGTGAATGTCTTCTTTTAATGTCATTGAGGTTAATTTGTTTTAAGTCAAGCTACATAACTGTTTAAATCACTTACACTATTATTGCTATAATTATTATTAATTTTATATTAACTGTGAAAAATATAGATATAAATAATTGATGTAAAATATTATTATTGAACTGTTAAATACTTGGTCAAGGAATATGATATATTTATAATTTATGATCGTTATTATTTGAAGTATTATAACTATTCAGCTTATATTGCAGATAATTAATTGTTATAAATCTAAATATTGATATTAAATTTTTTTATGCCACGATTTAGGTAGATTTTTTAGTTTAAGTAAAACTGAGGCGGTCTTCAATAATTGTCTAATCTCAAATTGTGAAATTCTTTCAACATTTGTTGTTAATGCTTATATAGATACAGTGAACAAAAAAACTAATACTTTAAATAATTTTTGATCTAATGATTTGGTTTTTCTATATGTCTTAATCTTAATGATTCAGAAGCCTTAATTAGTGCAGGCGATATTTAGTTACGAAATCAGACACAAATAAGCACATTCTTTGGATAAACATACCCTTTTTCGACGGAGTAGGACTCTTGACCTACAATTTATCGGCGTAGCCATAATCTGAGAAATACGGTTCCAATAGTTTAATCAGGAGAGCAGTCAAAAATTAGGATCCCTTAATGATAATTTTACTTTTTGTGTACTTATTTTAACTGTATGATTCTTTAAAAATTTGATAGCTTGGAAACTATTTAAATTTTTCCTTGTGAAATTACCCTCTTTATAATGTTATTAATTCAAAACTGAAAAATAAATTTAAAATATAAAGGACGCTCTGAAATTAGTGTTTTGTTATTGTATTCTCTTGGAAACAAGGAGTTATAATGGGAATAAAATGAAAATTGATTTCACACTTGATGCACATTATTAAGTGTTTTTTATCTGTATATTATCGTTTTTGTATTTTTATTTCAAAATATAATTTTCTATATGAAAATTTTGGGTTCTTGATAATTGTCAAAAAATATGTCATTGAAGATTTTTGACAGATTAAACTGTCAATTGCACACAACATGACTTTTTCTAGTTTTATTGGCCCACTATCCTAAAATTTTTCTACATCCTTGTTATAGTGAATTCTGAGTAACTCCAAATCACCTTTTTTTTTTCTTTTTTTTTTTTTTTGAGCATTTGTTTCCTCTTTTTATGAACTTTCAACAGTTGTTTTATTGCAGCAGAAATCTGGATTAGTTATGCTTTAGAATAAAAAAAATTATGTATAGTGTAAATTTATATGAAATTTATAAGTAAATTTATATGCATCAATTCTTTTCACATAGATCTGTTTTTTATTTAAATGATGATTAATATTTGTTGATAGTAGTATTTTATTTAATAATGTAATCAAGAAATCTAGACTGAAATTACAGTAAAAGTTTAATTGTAATTATAATATCTTACTAAAATGAAGAACTTTTGAGAGAAAATAAAAAACTCTTTAATTAAATAAAAAGTGCCTTAAATACAAAAGATTTTTAATTTAAATTATTTCAAACATTATTTTATAAAATTTCTTTAAAGTCTGCAAACAACTTTAATTTAAAAAATATATATTTGTTTTTTGAAAAGGAAAAACTTTTTTTTTTAAACTTTTATTTTCCAGGGTCTGAAATAATTTTTATAATATTTGGTGTAGTTTCGATCTGTTAATTTTCTAGCAATAGTGATCTGAATGGACATTTTTATAGCTGTTCAGTATTTATAACTTAAGAAAATTTTATACGTAAAAATTTGTTCATTTTCTTTCTGTATTATTCACTTCTAATATTGTTTCTTAAGAAAGAAAATTATACAAAATCTTTTACTTATCATAGTTCCCTAATTTTAAAAGGGTAGAATTTTTATTGTTGTATAAGTCTATGCAACAAGGAAAAGAATTGAAAATAAACACTATATTTTCAAACAAAATTTACCAAGTGACCTATGTGATATCAACTGAAACTTGGAAGAAAAAAAAATCTTAATTGGTTGAGCTTTACTGGAAAACCTTTTTATTTTCCACCTTTAAGTCAAAGTTTTAATTAAAATTTTTGAATTAAAATTTTTTTTCTTGCCTGATACTTGAGGCAAAATATCATGTTAGCATTTTCACTAAAATCTCCAAGTCACTCATATTCATTTCAGTTTTAAATTTTGTTAGCATATAGATGTATAGCATTCTATTTTATCTTTGTATAATGTTAAGGAAATTTAATAAAGTAATGCAACAAAAAGCATGTTTTTATTTTCACTCATTTGACTTAAATAATTACAATACATCATAAAAATTAATCTGGTCTTTAATGTAATTTGATAAATGATAATCCTTAAGTAATTGCAATATAAACCTTTATATCTTTATCTTACGTGCATAAACATAAGAATTGTTTTTTTAGAATTTAAATTAAAAATGCCAAAGTTATATCTCATTGTTTTTTTCTATTTATGTGTCATGAAACTATTGATAAATTGTTGAGTATCAAAACTTTTCAACATTGTCAAAAAATTTGAAGAAAAATAAAATCATGCAAGTCTCACATATTTACTGTTTCCAACTTCATAATTACTATAAATTTATATACAATTTCAAAGTTTGTTAAAATAATTTATAAAGACTTCTTTATTTGCAATAGTTATTAAAGTTTCAGCCATTTTGTTGAAGTTTTTGTTTCACTTCATAAGTTTTATTAATTTAGAAGCTAGATTTCATTTCATATGATGGGGATTTAAAATATTTTAATGAAAACTTTTTGTTTGTTTTGTAAAAATAAAGTATCTATGATATTTTAATAAACTTTGTCTTAAGTTATCAAAATTTTACTGTTGAAGTGGTAGAATATAAGAATACACTGTACCAAAGAAAACTATTTCTTTTGGGAATTAACAAATGTTTTTAAAACAAAATACTACTTAACATGTTTTATTTCTTGTTAATGCATTAAAAATCATTTTTCCATTTTTTATGCTTTTACTTTTATAGGTCCTGTTTCATATAAATCTAAACATATTTCATTTATTAACTAGGAGTTAAAAAGTATTTAATTAATATTTTCCTGTATTTTAAGTTTTTATGGCTACTATCTCAAATTAATCTTCAAAATGCAAGTTTTATAGAAATTTTTTAATGAGAATGGAAGACTAAAAGGTAATGAGTTGTATTACTCTCACTGTCAAAATATTTTTTGCTTATTTCTACAAAAATGTTTTTAAACATAACAGTTAGAATATTTTTATTATACACTTTTATTTCATGAAATGTTTTTGCCTACCTTATCCTCAGTATATTAATTTAGCCCAGCTATAATTGTTATACAATTTATATTTTTATTATTATTTTATATATTTTAATTTGTATGACGCTTTAAAATTAAATTTGATGTTGCATTGCAGCATTTATTGTATTAGCTGCATTTCTTAGTGTGGTAGAAATTGCTTAAATTAAATAAAAAAGTTGCTATGAAAAGTATAAAAATCCTTTGAAATTATTAATAATGTCTTTCAGAATTTCTATTTTGACTGACTGACTTCGTTTTTCCATTTGTGGACAAAATAAATCATCAATTAGCTCATATAGTTATATCCACAAAAATAGTGCTTTCTTATATTGTATTAATGTAGCCAAAGCAAAATATATCAATACAATAGTGTGAGAACTCCAAAGGATTTATTATATATACACATGTATATATACAATATATTTTTATGTAATTTTATTAGTTTATTCTATTTATGTTTTTTATATTTATCTTTTTTTTTCTTTCTAGAGAATATTCAAGAATCTTTTGCTGATTGGGAAAATGAACTAAACAAACCTTTTCATTGTTCAACTTGTGGAAAGGGATTCAATCATAATGGTAACCTGAAAGTTCACGAAAGAATCCATTCTGGTAAAAAGACATATAAATGTCCACATTGTAGTCATTCCACTAATCACATTTCTAATTTAAAAGTGCATATAAATAACAGACACAATGGGAAATTTCCATTCTCTTGTTCTATTTGTAACAAGGGATTTATATCTGAGACATTGCTACAACAACACGACGTCAATGTTCACTATCTTGCAAGAATTGGAAATGCTTTTCAGGCATGACAATTTTAAATCTGTGTCATTTAATTGTTTTCAAAGTTGATATAATTATGAACTTTAAACTATTACTATTCTTATTATATGATGTTTATTTCATATGCAAACAATTATTGTTTTGTGATTACAAACATGTTGTAAACATATATCTTGAGACAATTGACATCAAAATTTTGAACAGCTTAGTAAATACAGTTTATTCGCAATTATTCATATCTGACACGATAAACGAAAAACTTAAATCTATTGGATTTTTATCTTACTGTATTTAGTACTTTCTTTTAAATATTATAGAAACAGTAATCGAAGGAACTTCCCACTTTAATGCTATATTTTCCCTTCTTCATTGTTAGATTTCTATACCCATCATTAATAAGATTAATTTCATCTTCCAAGTTATGAGTTTTGAACTTTCTTTTTGACAAATTTAGTACTAAAACACAAATTTGAATGCATATTTTTAAATTCAATCCTTTCATTTCCAAATTCCAATGCAAAGCAGTGCTGTATTGATTCTGATGAAGCAAATAATACAGACAAAAGATAGTAGGTTTACTCAATACCCGCATGTGTTTTCCTTTTATTGTGCATATATTGATATATTGATCGCAATATAGTTTCCTCTTTGGTTGTGATTAATTTTGCTTTTTTTAGCTCTAAAAATTCAATAATCTTTTTGAAAAAAGATTTTTTAATCACTTATTTTAAGAAATCATTGATTTACATTAATTTTTTTTAAAAGAAAAAGTTTATAAATGGACTCTTAAGGGTGTGATTTTTAAGTCTTATTTCATTGATATTGAAGATTTTATATTGAGAAATAATGAAGGGGGAATGTATGCAAATTTAAATTAGATTTATAAAGAATAATAATTAAGAAAAGTGGGTAAAAGTGATGTGAGACCTTTATATTATAATTGTCTATTTGTTGTTAATAAAATGATCTGTTGTTTAATTAGCATATTTCAATTAGGTCCCTTCAGCTCTTATGATTCAATAACTAATACTTACTACAGCTATTTAAGTGAAAATAAAATCATTAGATCTTTGGTGTTAAATGAGGTTTAATGTGCAGCTATTTAGATAGTTCAAATATCTATTAATTTGCTATGATGAAGGGTATGGTGGAAGCATAGTACTTACGAGTATGCATCCATAATTGTGGCATAAGTTTTGTGTGAGAAAGAAAAATAACAAAGGAAAAAAAATGAATCTGTTACTTTTTTCACAAAATACTTCAGTTAGATTTCTGCATCAACAGTTTATCATGATTAAGTATAATGTTGTTTTATATTGAAATGCTATCCTATGATAGTTTTATGTCTCAGATTTATGTTATTTTGTTGTTAAAATTAAACATAAATGTTACCATTATGTTGAAAATGTATGTAATTAAGGGGATATAAAATTAAAAGATATCTGATGTAGATATTCACATTTGTGAATATAGAAACATGTGAAAGGAATTCAACTGACTGACTTTTCAAATAGAAATTAAAATCCTTTTATGATCTCAGTTCAAATCAATAAACTGTATTGTCAGTAAATTATCACTTTTACCTGTAATAAATAACATTAATAAATATTATACTTAACATTTTTCTCTTTTATATCACTTTTATCTGTGTGCTAATAATCATTATTATTATTATTGAGATCATAGTAAATTATCACTTTTACCTTGATTGTGAAAACTTTTCTTTTAACTATGCATGTATAAAACTATGATTCTCTTTCTTATCCTATATTTTGCAGTAAAATTAATTAAAAGAATGTTTATGCTATGACGCACTTTCTCCTTTTTTTTTAAAAAAAATATATCATTCACTTTTTCCTGGGACTGGCCTCTAAAAACTGCAAAAAATAGCAGTTAATATGCTACTTTATGTAACATAATTTAAACACTGACAGTTATACATTTTCTAGAGGTAGTACTGACATTTACTTTTCAACCTTTTGTTTCAGTTAATAAACGACCACTTATTTTTCAAGTACTTTTTTTTCCAATTTGGAGTAGAACACTTTACTTTTTCTTGTAACGTATCACCCTTTTCATTCATTGTTGGGCAATTAAATTCAAAAAAAAAATTTCTGATGCTTTTGAACTGAAACTCATTGTGAATCCTTATAAAATAAATCTTTTTGAGGCTGTTTAATTTTTTCATTCTAATAACAGTACCAAAAACGCTACTCTGATACCATTTGCTTAGATTTTTCAACATCTGGATTTATTTTACCCATTGAAAAAGCCTGGATGGCAAACAGCAGCTACTGAAATAGCCATTTGAATGTTCTGTAAATTATCAGGACTGTTAGTTCCTGAGAACAGGTCAGGATGGAAGAGAATCCTTGAGAAGGCCAGGGCCCTACTGTGGGCTGTTGTGCCAATAATGGTTATGTTAGTTGTAATGTTGGTCAGAATGAAGTTTTTCAGTGTAATAATGGCTTATCAGCATGAAAATAATTTTTAATGTGATTGTGAGTTAGAAGTTTGAATACCTTATAAACTTAGGTCTGTGAAGCTCATATGGATAATTGGTAAGATTTTTTTATATTATTTCTATTTGTGATGCAGTGTTCTTTTAACTCATTTAAAATTACTATTTTAATATAATTTACATTTTTTTAACACTTTTTTAGTGTAGTAAGTGTTTAAACGTTGAACAAAATGGTAACGTTAATTTTATTATATTTCTTATGAGATTGAGAATAAACATTCAGGGAATAAAACAGCTTTAAAAGTTTTTAAGCATACTGAAAAGCTTTTGTGAGATGAACGAAGTCATGTCTTTAAATTATGCACAATTGAAAAGCTGAAGAGAGTAGAGGAAGGTTCTAAGTAACAATTTAGTGATTTTTTCTAAACTTGCGTTAAAAGTTATATATTGGCAATAGGAAATAAAGATTATAGAATACCATTATTTCTTACAAAAGAGCTTCCAATTGGTAAAATCTATAAATTCCTGACCCTCATTTAAACTATTTGCATCATAGCATTCTCACTCTGGGTTTTGTTTTTCTGCTAAGACAGGTTTTTAAGGTTCGTTACTCTGGTTTACTTTGTTGCCAAATGCATGCTATGTTTTCTTCCATTCTAAAACTATTTAAAGATTGTCACTGAGTACCAAAACTCAGCTAGATCTGCAAAATGTGAATTTAATAAAATAAAAGAATTTCATATAGTTAAATGAGTGTAAAATGACATCGTTGGACCAGAAAATGTCAAGTTTTTAAAAAACGTTACGTCGAACCTTCTTCCACTAAGCTTTTCAATTATCAATCTTATGCGTAGTAAAAGCTTTGTCTTTATATTAAGAAAATTTATAACATTCTTTTGCTTGAAATTAATCTCTTTTTTACTTCAAGATTTTGATTTAACCTTAGTTTTTATTCTCTCTTTTATTTTTGTGAAATATTTAAAAGTGATGCAATGAAACCTTGCCTTTACAGTGAACTGCCACTGTCTTTAATCCTTGATAACTAAACTTGAATCACTGTTACTCTATTGTTAATTATTTGACTCTTAAACTAAGAATTCTGTAAAAATGTGCTTATTTTTCATATTTCTGTCATTTTTACCCAACAAATTAAAAAAAATAAATAAATAAAAGGAAATACTCTTAAATTTTTATTAAAATATAGAAAAATGATAAAATTTAATGTTTGCTATCTCTGAAGATGCAAAAATCAGAAGTATATTTTACTAATGTTTAATTATCTTGGATTAGTTGGCACTTAAGACAATTTACACTGTGAGCGAAAAATTTACAAGTTTGGTAATATTTATTACTTTAGCAGCTATATGATGGTGGTTATATGATGTTAGTTCCATACTCAAGCTCTGATGAAGTGCTTGGTTGTATTTAGTCACTGCTAAATGCTTGCTATGACTGAATAAAGAACTTCAGTTTCTGAATTAACTGCCCTCTCATTTCCTGCTGTTTACCATTTTACTATTTGTATCATGCATAAAAATGTTATCTAAAAATTTTAATGGTCCATCAATTTAACGTTTTTTTTTTTTAAATTTTTTATTTATTTATTTTCTTATTACTTCATCTTGTAGAATATTGTATAGAAATTTCATGGTATGAAAATCTTCATTTTATTTGTGTAATTAAACTAAAATTCAGCAAATAATTTTTCTAAATTCATAACTTGATGTCTGGCTTCAAAACTTGATGTTAACCACCCAAACTTTGATACCGTTTTGGAATTTTCAATTTTCTTTTTTTTAAATAAATGCATTTATTTTATCTTAATTAATTATGCCAATATATTAAAAATAGATTTAATGCACATCATTTGTGTATTCATATTTTTTTATTATCATCTTTTTTGTGATTAATTTTGTAGTAATTCTTTACTTATTTTTAGTTTACGGAGATCCTAATTTCTGTTTTTTTTTTTTTTTTTTTTTTTTTGTTAAATTTTATAATTCGTTTATTTTTCAATTAGTCTGTGTGCCACAGTTGAAATTTTACCATGCCTCACTCTGGATACAAGTTGTGGGTTGACCATCCATGATATATACATTTGTTTAAAATTTTTTTTAATGATTTCTTATGTTTTGCTTATTTAAACTGTATTTGGTTTTTAAATTAAATGACATATTTGAAATAAAAATATGAATGACTTTCCTTAATATCTAAAAATAAAATGTGGCACATTAATAATTCCTTTTAATGTACCACTTTGCAACTGTTTTTCAAAATATGTGCAATCTATTAGGCAAAATTTTTTTTACGTATCTATGTATGAGATTGGTTTTCTTGTTAAAGGTTTTCTTGTTTAAAGATATTAATTCTTTTCTCATTTGTGTACTATTATTTAGTTTTAAATATAGGGAAAAACTTCATCAGTTATTTTTATTATTATTTATTTCTCAATTATACAATTTGTTTTGTTATTGCATATAGTTCTCCAATTTCATTTATCAGAATCCTTTTACTTAAAACTGATAAAATTAATTTTTTGTTCACTTAAAGTATGATAGTAGAATCTTTTTGGATTCATCTTTAGTTAAACTAAGGTTTTCTTATTCTATATGAAGAAAACCTAGCAGGTAAACAGTTTTCTTAATTTATGTGTTCAAAAACTGTTTGTGCTGTTTAGTAATGGGTATAGTATCAATTTTAACAAAATTAGTGGAAATTAAAAAAAAAAAAAAAAAGAAGCTATTTTCTATTTGATTCTTCTGTGTTATGGCTAATTCATTCCAGTACTACATTCTTAATAGATTTTGATACATGATTTTGGCTGACTCAGATTCAATGAATGAGACGCTGACTGTAATAGTGATATAAATTTATATTCCATCAAATTCAATATTTTTAAAATTAGAATTTTATCTCCTCTTTGGTGTAATTTTCCATTATATAATTGAATAAATTTCTCATTTTAATTACCTGTTCCTTAATTACTTTTACTTTTTTTGCAGAGGATTTTCCCGGTGATGCCTCATCTAAGGAATATCATCTTTATACTTCCTCAAACAATTTTCGTGCTTCTAATGAACTTGCTGCTAAATCTGAGTTTGGAAGAAAAATCTTAAATTGCCCATATTGCTCCTACCAGTGTAATCGCATGAGCAATATAAAAACTCACATTGCATACAAACATACTAAAGATTTTGCTTATACTTGTTCACAGTGTGGACGAGGGTATGCCGCTAGAAGCCATTTAAAAACTCACTTGATGTCAGTTCATTACAAAACAGCCTCTAATTATTGAATCTGAATCGTTAATTACTGTAAAACATGGAAATTGACTCTGAAGAAAAACATGGTCGACCAAAGATTGGAATAGATAACATCATGCAAACTGAAGGAGGATTTTAATTAGAAATAAAAATCTATTTTTTTAAAAAATTTCCGTTTTTCACGAGTTTTAGATAGTTAAACCTGTAACAAACACACAGAAAAAGAAAATAAATAAATAAAAAATAATTAAATATTTTCGAATAATTATTACAAGTTTGCATAAATGAAATTTGCAAGTGAATTTTGACATATTTTACTTATGGTAGAATGAGATAAATTAATAAGAAGTTTTTATTTCACATTTTGCATAGATTGTGACTTAAATGTTTGAACAAAATTCAAAAATTCTACTATACCAAATATCCGTTTACAAAAGTAAGTCATTATTAAATCATGAAGGATTCTCAATTTTGTAAATGGTGGCATAGTCAGCATTGTGCTCCCAACTCCCGTTCGTCCCATGGAATCAAAAGCTAAATAGGTTTAATAAATACTGAGTAAAATCTGGTTTTCATTATTATTATCAAATATAGATATTTGCATAATACCTATTGTGTATTTTATTATCACCCCCTCTTATTTATTATTTTAAATGTGTTTCACTTTGTTATATTGGGTTGTTCGGAAAGTAATTTCGTTTTTTTGGGGGGAAATGAAAGACAATTTTCGTATAATGAATAAATATTTTATTAAATTATTTATTAGTCATTCTGGTCCAACACCTTTTGCCATCTTTCTGGTAATAGCTTGATTCCACGCTCATGAAATTTTTGGTCTCTGCTGCCAAAAAACTGATCCAGGTGATTTTTGACCTCTTCATTTTAAGTAAAGGTTTTGCAGTCCAAAACATTTTGTAGTGACCAGAACAAATAATAATCCGAAGACACCAGATCTGGGGGATATGGTGGGTGTGACAGTGTATCCCATTCAAGCTGTGAAAGCTTTTGGCGAGTGACCAAACTTGTATGAAGTCTCGCATTATCTTTGTAGAACACTGTACCTTTTCTGTTGATTAACTCAGGCCTTTTTTGTTGAAGAGCATCATTCAGTTTCTCCAGCTGATGACAGTAGACTTCCGAACTAAGTGTTGTGTTATCTGGTAAATGCTAAAAAAAAGAAAAGGAAATAAACTATTCCCTTAACATCCCACCAAACAGGCAGCATCTCCTTATTTGATGGATATTGGCTTTCGAAATGCTTTGAGCCGTTTAATCTTTTTTGCTTCACGATCTCTTGCGTTTGACATTGTTATAGACAACTCATTTTTCGTCTCCAGTAATGATGCACTTCAAAAATGGATAATTTTCGTGATGTTTGAGAAGCGAATCACAGACGTCAACGCAGCGACACAAATTTCTCTTCGTGAGAACATGGGGAACCTATATATCGAGCTTCAAGGTTAAACATAGGCCTTTCAAGTGATCATAAATTTCATAGTGATCATAAAATCCTCTCTTCGATATCACGTGTTGTTATTCGCCGATTTGCATCAACTAATGCCTTTATAGTGTCTTTATAAGGTTCAGCGAGCTTTCCAGAACGTGGTGCATCTTCGACATCAAAATTGCCAGATCAAAATTTTGCAAACCAATTCTGTCACTGGCGTACTGTCAACACATCTTATTCATACACATCGGTAAATTTCTTTCTGGCAGGAACAGCATTTTTACCTTTTCTATAGTGAGAAAGTAAAATATGACGAAAATGCTGTTCATTGCTCTCCGTATTTAAAAGGGCACCAACCAAAAACTACTGTGTGGAATTAATTGAATTTTTTCACACATAAACCTTGCTATATCAGCTTACAAAACATATCATGATAATGCGGCTCAAGTGTGAAGTTGGTTTCGAAAAAATACAATTAAATCCTCTGTTGGAAAAACGAAACTACTTTCCGAACAACCCGATAGATATTTTCCTCATAAAAAAAATTATATTTAACTGTAGGTTTGTTTAACATTGTGCACTTGTGACATGTTTAATTTTGTAATTGTTTGATTAATTAAATAAAATATTCTTCAATTTTGGCTTTAATTAAACTTTTCAAACTGACAAAAATAAAATATATTTTATTTTAGGTAGATAATTTTCAGCTTTATGTTTTAAAATACCATTAAAAATTTTTTGCGATTAAAAATTATAAAATCTTGATTTTAAAATATTTCTTAATGAATCACTCAAAACTGATGAATGATTAAAACTTTTATTTGCAATTTTTTTTTTCAAATTTATTAAAATTGTCAATAGTTTTCTTGTTTTATTTGAAAATTTTATATTTAGTTTTGTTAGTCAATCTAATAAAAATTGTTATTTTTTCATAACCATGTTGAGTGTTGGTAAATATTAAATTATTTTTTATTCATATATTAAAAAAAAACTATAGAGTGATAATCATTATAATCTATGTAGCATTATCCCAAATTTGCTACATTACAAATTTGCCAATACATTTTACAATTGTATTTTTCCATACTATTCATGGCATTTATTAAGACAGATAGTTTATTTCTTTACAATAATTTTTCATTTTTTTTACAAAAGTTTACTAATAAAGGGTATGTTATTTCTTATTGTTTTTAATAGTTTGTCTATGGGGAGCACACTTATAAAACAAAAAAATAAAGCATTTTAATTGTTGGTAGGGATAGAGTACTTTATTTGATGATTCATATTTATCTCATGTTATGTATATTTTCCTTCTATATGAACTGAAAATAGTTGTGTGCTGGTAGTATATCACAGAATTTGTTCTGTATTGTTTTAATAGTATATCAATTAAAATATAATCTCTAATACATTTCACTAATTTATTCCTAATATTTTCTAATTTAAGGTATAATTTAGTAACAATTTACGAATGTAATTTCATCACTCATTTAATTAAAATTCTAAGCTAATAAAATTATTGTTTATTTATTCTCTTGTAAAACATTGAACTAAAAGTTCTGGTCAAATGTTAACTGTTTTTAATTTAATAATAATGTTGTATTTCTATAGCATTCATGAATTTAATTGTACTCAATATTTTTCATAAATATAGCGTGTTACAAAACTAATGGCCACAATTGTGATGCAACTTTCACCACAGAATGTGGGGTCAGAAAACAAAGAGTTGACCATGGCTTTTCATGGGTTTCTGATACCTGAATGATAAATTTTATTATTTAGCTCTTTTTTGCTGCCAGATATGCATCAATATTTGAATGTAAAGCTAGCTAATGCACAGTGCGCAAAATAAAACACGAACCATATTTCCCAGATTGCGACTACCCCCTATATTTTGAGGGTCAAAAATCCGAATATGTTGAAAAAATGGGATGTTTATTCAGAGAAAGTGCTAATTTGTATCTAATTTCGTAACTTAAAATAATTTCTGTTCTAATTAATTAGCATAATTGAGGTTACTTCCTGGAACCACTAAGATTGAGTTCTAGAACTGATCATTAGATCAAAAGTTACTCAGGGTAGTCCGTTTTTTTGACGAACAGTACATCTATAGATTGAACTGCAAGTGTTAATTAAGTAGACTTTACCAGAAGTTATTTCCAAACAGGGTGCTGACTGATTGATTTGGGGTCTCAGTTGCAGGCATTAGGGGAAAAAAATCTTTCACTGGGTTGTCTGTACTGCATAGGCTGGCTACTCTTTTGTGCTGCAGTTTTCAATAATAAATATTCTTTGTTATTCACGTTTATTGCATTCTCAATTTTCACCAATCTTGTTCTTCTTGCCACTCAACCTTTGATTTCAGTCCCCACATTATATAGTAAAAATTGTTTGTTTTCACTAGTTATATTAAAAATTTTAGTGTTGCAATTAGTTTTGTAAAACTCTATTTCATTTCTTTCTTTTTCCACTTCTTTTGTATATCTTCTTTCAATGCATATTTCTCCAAAACTTGATTTTCTTCTAACTGTCAACTAAATTTTTTTCTTGCAGGATCAGGTGAGTCTTCATTCTATATTGGTGCTACATCATTCCTGCCTTTTGTGTCTCTCAATTCTAAATTGCAAGAAAGTAGAGTTTTTTCTTGTTCAGTTTGTGGAAAGTGCTTTAATCGAAAGTATGTACTGCAGGTTCATGAACGAACTCATTCAGAAAAGAAGTTCTACTCTTGCAGGTTCTGTGATTATACCTGCAATCAGCTTTGTAGTTTAAGAGCACACATAGTGTATAAACATAAGAAACATTTCTCTGTTTTCTGTTCCATATGTGGAAAAGGTTTTAGCTCTAAACAAGAGTTGGCTAGTCACAAAAGACATGAACATAACTGAAAAAAAGATTTTTTTTTTTAAAATTTGACTTAATTAATTTTTAATTTGTGAACTTAATTAATATATTTTACATATATAGTTGAATCAAATTTACTTATAATAATTTATCTCTGTTGGTGTTTAATGTTTTTCCAAACCATATTCTTTGCTTTTGCAACCATATTGAAATATTCTAATAAATTTAGCAGTTTTGCAGATTATACTAAGGCTTGTTTTATATAATACTAACATTACAAAGATGCGAAATAGCCAGTGTGTTTCCATTTTAAACACTTAACCGAGGCTAATTTTGTGGTGCATTATAATTTCTTGTGTGTTTAAATTGCTAAAATATATTTTGAGACATCTGACAAATTAACCATCTATAAACATGTCATTTAAACATTAATAAACTCATTTCTCAAAGTTAGCCAACAATATATAATTTTCTCAAAATTAACTCTTAATATATTAACTTAAAAAGTATAAATGAGTATGAAGCTATTACTCATTTTTAACATGCACAAAGCTATAGCTTTAATTGTCTTAAAGTACTTTAAAATATGCTATCTAATGCAATGCATAAAACAAAAATATCTTAAGTATATTTTAATAAATGACTAATTTGTTATGCTTAGCTTTAATTTTTATTTATTATTTTGAGAAACATGTTTTTATATTATAATTTTTTAAAGTTAATTTTTCTAATATTTAAATTTTTTTTTTTACTATATACTGACCATAGTAATTAATTCAATTGTTCTCTCTTAATTCTGTTTTACTTATCCTATGATGAACGGCAAGTTACTTCAACATTTGAAGGCAACAATGCTTCTTTTAATCTTCTGAATTTTATTAAAAACATTTTATTACAAATTGCATTTACCTTATGTGAGTTTTATTTTGAAATTTCACATTCAAAATAACATTAATTACTAAATTCATTCAATGAAAAAAAAGGGGTTTTTTTCGATAAATTTTTTAAATCTAGGTATTTGGGAATTTATAATAAATGATAGAAGTTCTTAAAAAGTTCTCTTGAAAGAAGTTCTTAAAAGTCAAAACTAATTTCATTTCTGTATTTATATTCAGTGGCAGTTTACAATATTTAATTAAAATGCAATAATTCTTCCTTTGTTATTTTGATCCTAGAGAAAATTCTTAACGTAAGAACTGAATCGCTTGATGGGATAAGAAGAAACTTTATGCACTGTTGTTATTGCAATAATTGTTCCTTTTAATAATATAAATTTTTATGTTGTCCATAAATTTGAGTTTTTTTAAGAAATACATATAAATTGTCGCCATATATGAGTATAAATATATATTTAAAAAGAACAATAAAAATATTCAGTATATTGATGTTTTAGAAATTATTTAACCTGCAACAATACCAAAAATAAGTTTATATACAGCAGAGTCTCGGTGGTTCGAGTTTTCTTTAAATCCGTGCGAAAAAAATCAGTCTGGCGCCCGAGCGATGACCAATGTACTCACAACACGTGGAATAATTCTGCGATTGTTTTTACTACAATTACTGTAACTGACTGTTGAAAAACAAATTTGTGAGTTAATTTGCATGTGAACTGTGTGTTTAAGCAAAAAAACATCAGACAATTAAAGTAAAATTTTATCTGATGCAATAATATGAATATTGTTAATTAGTTTAATGCTGTAAATGTACCCTGATCCTCTAATGCAGTGTTTCCCAAGGTGTGGTACACGTACCCCCAGGAGTATGAGAACAGTTTAGCGGGGGTACGCTTTCTAATGCGAAATATCTTGCAACAAGCGAAAATTTCAAAAAATTTTATTTAAAAGCAAAGCTAGTCATGAAAATTTACGATTAGGTATTTCCTATTGGCTATTTTTTGCAAAGTTAACAGTTAATAATTAGTGGTGGCCATTTATTTATTAGTGGTACACTGCGTTACAAAAAATTTAGAAAGGGTACACAAAAGTCATGAGTTTGGGAAACACTGCTCTAATGTAACTAAACTTTCTTTAAATATAATATATAATCTCAATTAAATACTGACATTCAAAATTTCTTTATTTCCATTTCTTTAAGTTTTCAAAAGTTCGAGGTAGGCTCGATCCCATCCATCTCGAATTATCTAGACTCTACTGTAGCTCCATTTGCAATGCTTGCAACAAAATATAAGATTTTATTTATTTATATTTTTTTTATATTGTACTTCATTTATGTTCCCATGTTTTTATATGCCATTAATAATGTCATTCTTTTTTAGCATATTCTATTTTGCTTCATGGTGTCTTATTTTTTTATATATACAATTTTTAATGTTTTTTTTTATTTTTGTAAAAAACTTAAGTTTTATGTGTTTTTGTATCTAGTTAATATCAGTTCTGCAACAAATTGTAAAGCGTAATATAACATATAACCTATATTTTAAACTAAAATCTTTAAAACATTTCATGTATGTAATGAAATAGAACTAAATATATATTGTTTAATATTAAGTTTTTAAAGATTAAAGCATGATAAAAATAATAATTTCACACTTAAAGCTTAGTTTCTACTTCAAAGCATAGCTAATAGTGTACAAAATTTACATACAAGGTTTAAAATAAATTTTTATTAAACATTTTTATTTTTCCAATGTGTGTTAGATTCAAAGGATTTTCTCAAAATCAATGATTTTCTGAAAATGCATACATAATTTCCAAAAAACGTCTCTCAGCATGTGTGAATAACCAACTATAACTTTATTTCTAACGATTAAAGAACAAAAATGTGGAAAGTTAATGAGCATAAGTTCAAATATGGACAATAATAAAAAAAAAACATGAAATTTTGGTGAAATCACCGATTTTTGCTTGTTGAATATCATAAAATATTGAAAGGAATATAAAGTTTTATGACTGCATAGGTTTTTATCTATTACTATTTTAAGAAATTATTTATAATGAATAATTAGAATGCAACTATACCATCCATGAATTCTTCCATTATCATCTTGTATCATTAAAATCTATGGAGTAACATCCATGGAGTACTATTTTCTACTAAGTAGTTCTCTAATAGTACGCCATTACTTCCGGACACTTCAAGCCCTGACACTCAGCATTTTAGCTGAATACTTATATTAAGGCTCTGAATGAAGGTAAACAATGTTCAAACATTTAGCCTTAGAAATATTCTGAGAGAATAATTTTTATGTTGCTCCAATATAGTTCAAATAAAATTATTATTATAATTTTTTCTGGGTTAGTTATTACAGGATGATAAAATTTTTCTTTTGAAGCATTTTGAAAAAAAAAAAACATTTTCTCCTTTTTTATATACATGTATCATTTTTATTAGCTTGTTTTAATAATTACTTTTAAACTTGTTGTATTATTAAGTTCTTTCTTTTTTGAACTTTTGTATTTAAGCGCGATAGGTATGTATACATAGTTTTAAACTTTTGAATTTTTAAACATAGTTAAATAGTTAGAAAAACATCTGAAATTTAGGATTAATGCTATTTTATTTTGCACATATTTATTTGTTTTATTTTTAGCTTTTCTTTTCTTTGTGCTCTATAAAATAACTTATGCATAATATTTCATTGGGTTTTCCTAAACTTAGATATTTTAATTTTTTTTATTATTATAAGATTATTTGAAATATTGTTACAAAATTTATATGCTGTTATTAAATTTCTGTCTTTATTATTTTCATTCATTTTTTGTGTGTGGCATTTTTAGAATTTATATTGCATTTCTAAAACACATATAACTTTATTTTAATTAAATTTGTATTGAACCAACTTGAGAATTTTCTAAAGAAATGTTAGTTTATATTTTATGTATCTGAGTAAAAAATTATATCTATGAGATAAAATTATACTAGTTCAAAAGGGCTGAGAGGTTTTCTCTTTGTATGAAACTTAATTTCATTATTGTTTATAAATAAAAATATTAATTTTATTGAACTGGTTATAATTATATACCATATTTATTTATATAAATACTCTTAAAAATTAAAATGTGGACAATTCTATATTTTTCTTCTTTTCAACTTAGCAAATGTTGTAACATGAAATTTGATATCATACTATTTTAACTGCAAATTTAAATAATGGTTATACAAATATAATATACATATAATATGAAATACAAATATAATTACAGTTATAAATAAATTTGAAAATTACTGTGCAATCTGGCCAGCTCTCAGACTTTTGACCTAAATCTCAGGCTTTTTTGTCCTATCTCAAAAAAAATTTGCCTACAATGTGTTAGCCAGTTAAAGCCGGAGACATAATTATTCCTCACCATGATGCAATCTGTTAGAGAATGTTCAACCATGTGATAATTCAAAATTTATTAATTCAATTCTTTTTCTCTCAAAACAAACTCTGGAGAATTTGTTCGCAATCCTGAATGAGTTTCAGAAAAAAATTTGTATTACATTTTTAAAAAATGCTAAATTAATTGCTCAGTTTTAAAACAATTTATTAATTTTTTATTTTAAAACATTTTGGCATAATAAAGTTACTTAAATAAATTTAATTTTAAAAATGTATGAATTTAATCTTTATTATTATTTTTTTATTCAATTTTTAATCTTTATTATTGTTTTACTTGTAACGCTATGTCATAGTCTCTCTATCCACACAAAAATTCAGATTTTTGAATTTCTGAGATTGGCATGTCTGATTGTGTGTAAAAATTGCTATAAAAATTATTCAGTCAAACTTGGACAAACTGAAAGTTGAGTTCCCCTCAATTTTTAGCTTTATTTTTATACAGAATTCTAGGAACCAAAAAATTCAAATTATCCAAAATTTTGAATTAAATAAATTTGAATCAGTGATATTTGACTTTTTATTTTTTAATTGCTTAATAAAACATAAAAATAACTATGTTAGCACATGCAATATTTAGGCATCTGGCTATTTATATTTCACCAAATGAATTGTATGCCTGCATGTTGAATGTCTACCTCTACATCAAAAATTTGGTCCTTCTGTAGTTCTTAGTTCGATAAAAATTGCAGTATGGATGAAAAAAGACTATTTTTATAAAATGTGTCATATTTCATTTGATTTTAAATTATGCATGCACTTTAGTTTTTTTTTCCCCATTTCTTATTATTTTTGAAAATAATTTTCAATTCTAGATTTTGGCTGCAAATAATAACTAGAATGATAATTATAATTTTTTCTCTTTGCCATTTATTTTTTTAAATAAATGTCTTTTCTAATGAAATTTTAGTTTCTAATTTGACTTTTTTATCTTAGAAATTTAAAATGGTTTAGAAAGATAACTGAAATTAAATGTTTATTGTCTTATAAATTCTTTAAATATTTCTAAAATTTAAATTGTTCAAATGCTAAATACTTAAATATAAATGCACTATTATTGCTGTTGTTTATTTCAATATTGAGAGTTGTTAAAATTTGAAACGTGTGACCTGTAAAGAAAGTAATAAATATTTAATATTTAAAATCTAAAGCAATAACTAAGTTTGAAGACACTTTGTATCATATTTGATGCACAATATGAACAAAATGATTCAAATACTTCAATATTTAAAATCTAAAGCAATAACTAAGTTTGAAGACCCTTTGTATCATATTTGATGCACAATGTGAACAAAATTATTCAAATACTTCAATATTTAAAATCTAAAGCAATAACTAAGTTTGAAGACACTTTGTATCATATTTGATGCACAATATGAACAAAATTATTCAAATACTTCAGAATTGCCAGAACTGTCCAACAAGACGGGTTAATTTGATTTTATATCTTAACCTTAACATATTATTTTGTAAAATAGTTTTGAATTGTTGTCTACATATTTTAAATATTGTATTTTAATTTGTAAATAAAACCTTTTTTCTTATAGAGCATTATGGCATCGATTTATATAAGTGCGCAGTTTGTGCAAGGACATTTCCGAATAACACCAAACTCAAGATTCATGAAACTATGCATCGTAATAGTAAAACTTATCACTGTCAGTATTGCGACTATGCCTGCCTGCAGTCTTCCAATCTTAAAAAACATGTTGCTCGACGCCACACCAAAGCATTTCCTATATATTGCTCAGAATGTGGCAAGGGATTCATGGCCCCAAGTGAACTCAAAAATCATCTAGCTGCTACTCATAAAGTTAAGAAAACATGATTGACAGTACATGTGTTGTATTTTACATTGCTTGTAAACAGATTTATTTCTCTACTGAAACAACTTTTATGTCAACGAAGTATCAAGAAGTAAAAATTTAAAATAAATTTAATTGATTGTGTTTGAATGAAGAAAATCCCAAAAGTAAGGTCTTCTACTGTTTTAGAAACAAAATAATCTGTTTATTTTCCGCAATAAAGGTTAAACATTTCTTTATATTTCTACAACATTAGTTTATTGCATTTTTATAGACAGTTTTTGCATCTTCTCAGCATGTTCTTGCATTGAACCTCATTTTTCATTCGATGGTTAAGATGAGTTACCTTCTGACCAAATATTCTTTTTTAACTTAAGAAATTAATGGTAGTCACTGAGTGATATAATCTAGATATAGTCACAAGTCTAGTTTATAGAGGTGTGTGCTGGTGTTATATGTCATTTAAAATGCTACAAGAATGCAGCATTTTAACTAATGAAAAAGTGAATGATGATGTTCAATGCTTTCTCATGACATGGTCAAGAGTTAGTGTGATATGGGTATACAAAAACACACAGCTTCTACAAAGATGGATCAACCAAAAATGGACAATTATATCGGAAATTCAACAAATGTTTAGCTTTTAATATTGAAGGAAATAAACAGATGTTTGTATTTTTTTTAAAATAAAAGGCTTTACTATAAGGATTGAATATGTAGTATTATTCTAAGTTTTCATCTTATTTGTGCTTGTTTAATTTTGTTGTTTTAGTCATCAGCTATTATTTGAAGCAGCTGAAATAGTTTTTTGTTTAGTATAAAGTTTATGATTGTTGTATATTAGTTTTTTTTAAAAAATTGTTTATTTAGGGCATTTTTTAACTATCTGAAACATGATCAGACGTGATCTTATTTTAGGCTGTTTAAAAACATTACCATAACTTGTGTGATGAGTAAACAAATAACATTGATTACAAATAGTTAGGAAGCAATAATATGTAATAATTAAATGTAATTTTAAAAACAAATGCCTATATGTAATATTTTATTAAATATTTTCTTTTGCTATATGAATCTTATTAAAAAAAGTCAACTATTGTTCATATGTCAAAGCAATATCCTAAAAGATTCTTCAAATACCAAATAAATAAAGCTAGAGATTATATTTACTACTTAAATTTTTTCTAGCTATTTTTCTTTAAGCTAAGCATTTGCCACCTCGCCAAATGCGATAAAATCATTAATTTGGTGAATAAAATTGTGTTTTGGTGAAAGTAATGGGGCTAATGATTTTTTTCACTAAAAAGTAAAATATATTTATTTATCTTGATCCTCAAAATTAAATTAAAATGAATTTTTCTAAACAACTCAGTATTTTTTATTTGATTACAGTAATTTTTGGTACGTGCGCTGCATAACCAATAAGAATCGAGTCCAAATAATGAAAGCCTGAAACAAACTACCAAAAAATAATTTTCTATTGGAAAAAAAAAATTTTTAAGATTTGCACTTGGTGAAGACTTTCGAAAATTTGCGAATACTTTTGATATATGACTAATTTAAGCCTGAAGCAAACTAGGTACCAAAAAATAATTTTCTATTGGAAAAAAAATTAATCATAAAAAATTGTTAAGATTTGCACTTGGCAAAGACTTTCAAAAATTTGCGAATACTTTTGATATATGACTAATTTACTGGATGATAATTTGAAATCTTGAGCATGGGCCCTGTAAATGTAATATTTCTGCGGACATTAATAAAAAGAAAGCTTTGAGTTAAAATTAAAATAATATTAAATGTGTAAAAAAAGAGATTTATTGCCATTCCTGCAAATGATACTGAACAATCATAGCATTTTGTTTATATAGTTATTATTTTCCCAAATCCTTTTATTCCACTTATGCACAAGAAAGCTTTTCTGCTTACACAAGAAAAAAGGATAGCCATAATGGATAAAACTTTTTTTTATTAATATATTTTTGATTTTTTCTTGTTAATAATATTTTCTGTTATAGATTGTGTTTGCAATAACTAAAGCAAGTCACTTAAAACGATGGTGAACTCATCTAATATGGATTGAACTGATATTACAGAATTAATATTCACACCTCGATATTATCGTAATTTATTGTCCCTAGAAATTTGTTTTTGTATCAAAATTTGTAGTTTTTTCAGTATTTTTAATTTAGTACAAATTTGTTGGTATCTAAAAAACAGCACTGTCTTTCTAAAATTTATAATTTACATCCCTGATTATTTTTTCAAATATTTTACACTGCTCCTTATATGTTTAACCATAATTGTTTCCTTATATTTTTTATCTATTTCAATTTCAAGTCATTATGCTGGATTGTTTGTTAAACTATATAAAAAATTCCCTAATCAAAAGAATATTAGTATAAAATTGTACAATTTTTTTTTTCTTAATGAATGTTTTTGTAAATAACTGTAGGAAAATACGAGCATATCCTCAAGCTTTTGAGTGAGCCATACTGTTTATTATCTGTTTGTTGTTTGATTATTGCTCATTTTTTCGTACTAATTATGATAATTGTTGTTTGTATTGAATCAGCATTATTAAGTTGTAGGATCGAAATTTGTCATTGATTTCCATGGATTTCATCACACAGTTTTATAGATTTTTTGGTTTTTTCGAAGTGTTATTGTATACATTTAATAATCATGTTTTCAATAATAAAATAGTTCATATTACTTTGTTTTTCTTTGCTTTAGAATCCATAAATATATGTAAGCAATTTTCTATTTAACTTTTTATTTTATACTTGAATTTTTTTTGCTCAAGTTATGTTTTTAAGAATAACACATATTAAAGTTTTTAAAATAATTGTCTGCTAAATATAATCTTATAAATTTACACCTTAACTTTTTTTGAAGATATGGTTGAATCTTATCCTATTGTTCAATGTAATGTGTAATTTTGTTAGTCATTGTATTACTCATTTTAAATTCATTGGAGTTTTTTCTTCTCTAAAAACAAATAAATGCAGTAAATTCTATTAAAAATTCATCAATGCATTCCTTTGAATCAATGCATACGAATCGATTTCTTATTGTTAAATTTATTCTTTTATATTGTAAATATGACAAAAATATTTATTTATACTTTAAAGAATAGTTATTTTATGTGTTAACTTTCCATCTTCATTTTTGTTGCAAAATCAAATTGAACCTATTTCATTGCTTTAGTTTCACATGTTTTTTTTCTCCAGTATAATTTTATTTACAATTCACATAAAATCATGTTTACAACAGTAAAAAATTCAACTTATTTCATATTGCTTATTTTTAAATGTGTAGATAAAGAAAAACAACATTTTCTTACTTTTAAACTAGCAAACCCATTTATATTTTATAATTTTTAATTTGAATTCAAATCATATTAAAAGAAAAATACATATTGAATTTTTAAGACATAATTTTTTTATAAATATTAGCTTCATCTTTACACCTTAACTTTTATTTCAGAATTAATCGAATCCTCATACAACACCTTATTGCTGCCAAGCACTACTCATCCTTCTAAGAATCGAAGAAGCGAAGCTTTTACATGTTCAGTTTGTGGAAAGTGCTTTAGTCGCAAGTATGTACTGCAGGTACATGAACGGATTCATTCAGACAAAAAGTTTTACTCTTGCCAGTTCTGCGATTATGCCTGCAATAATCTCTCAAACTTAAGAATTCACATAGCAAATAAGCATCAAAGAATTTTCTCCAATTTTTGTTCTACCTGTGGGAATGGTTTTTATTCATGGAACGAAGTGGTTGATCATAAAAAATTGGTGCATAAGAAATGATTTTTACTAAACTGACTATGCTTATGTCTTTTTCAGAGAGCATAAGTTTTGGATTTTATTCGTGTGACTATTTATTTAGTCATTTTTCTTTTTTAAGTACAGTACACACCACCTAAATGTCAAAGAAATTTCTTTATATTTTGTGTGTTGAATTTACTTGAGTTTTAGAAATGAATTAGCTATTCATAAGAATCCTATGCATAATAAAGAATTAAAATGATTGAACTAATATATTTTTTGTCATAAATTATGCAAATGGTTGAAGGACAAGACAAGCTGGAAGCTGTAGAAAAAAAAGTAAAATACCAGATTTTTTTTCCGATTTAAAGGGACAAATCTCAGAGTCTCTCTTTCTTTCATATGTTCATGGTTTAAAAATTTTCGACTCTCTAGTCCTTCAGAAGAAATTTAATTGTTAAAATAATCATTTTCCCTTCTCCCAAATTCTTGGCCAAAATTATTATCAAAACATGATAAACGTTAAGAGAGACATTCCTAAGCAACAGCAGTTGATAGTGAAAATGGGGATAATATTCTGTTTTGCAGAGCCATAGTGCATAAGAATCAGCAAGAATGGTATCAGACATTAATTTTTTATCATCTGCAATGCAGCATAATTGTGTAAACAATTCTTTTCTTCAGTGTATGTTTTTAATTGTGAATCACAATAGAAAAAATTGAGCTGTTGTTTGGGCGAGCCATTCTTTGCATTGTCTGTTTGTTAAACTTTAACTCAACTTTCATTTAATTTATGATCATTCCTTTATAAATTTGATTTGCATTGAATCAGCATTATTTCTGAGTTGTAAGATTAAAATTTGTCTTAGATTTCTGGGAATTTTATCCCACAGTTTTTGAGTCAGATATTTTATTTTTCAATTTCAAAGTGTTATTGTTGTTTAATGATGATGCTTACAGTTATAAAGTAATTCATGTTACTTTGTTATTCCTTGCTTTAGAATCTATAAATAAACTTAATCAGTTTTATTATTCAACCTTTTATTTAATTTATTCTTTTATATTTTTATAATTTAAAATTTGTTTTCGCATTCACATCATATTTAAATTTTAAAAATTTTGTTTATCATTGACTTTACACTTTAACTTTTATTGCAGAAGCTATTAAATTCTGTAGTTCAATTTTTAATTACGTTTTTTTCCCCAATAATATATCAGAGTATATTTATATTAATGTCTGTCTATGCAACACGGTTTACATTATTTAAATAGTGATTTAAATCACTTGATTTTCTTTAAAAAAATCCTAGATTTGAATCAACTGAGATTTTAAGGAAACATTTTTTTTTAATTAATTAATTTTTATTAAATTATTCATTTCATTAAGTTGAAAACAATTTTATAAATATATTCTTTAGGGTATAATTCTTTTTAAAGTCTGATTTCATTGACAATGAATGTTTTATCCAAAAAAAAAAAAAAAAATGAAAGAGGGGGCATGAAAATTATTACGTTTCAAGATCGACTAATAAATAAATAAAATTAGAGACTAAAAGTTGATAAGAGTGGAGTTAAACTTTTAAATTATAAATTTCCATTAGCTGAATGTAAAATAATTTGCTGGTAATAAACATATTTACTTATTAAATATGTAGCTTTTGTGCATAAGTGTGCCTACAAAGCAGGCCAAGTGGGCCATATATTTTTTATTTTAAAATAAATTTTATTTAATTAGGAACAAAAAATAATAATTATAAAGCAAAACATTGTTTTACTTGCTTTTACCGAATTTTTTATTTGAATTTTTTCTCAATTTTTAGTATTTTTTTCTTAATTTGGTTTTTTTTATTTATTAAACATCAAAGGCCTCTTATAAAGAGAGAAAGATAACTGTTTGACTTTAAACATTGAAATCACATTTAATTGTAAAAATGTTCATAACTATAGTGGCCCACCCTTTATAAAAATGTGCCACGCCTATGCTACTGAATATCAATATTGAAAATTACTTGTTCTGCACAGAGAAACTTAACAATAATATTTTTTCTTTAATGTGTTCTGATCTAAACTAATTTATTTTTCATTGGATATCTAACTGACAAATTGCTTCCCTGTCTTTAAAATTTTAGGATGTTTATCTTGAACAAAAGTAACTATGGTTTTATTTATGCATTGATTAGTGTGTAATAATTAAATAATTTTTGAAACATTTCAGTTAAAAATATCAACTATTTTAGTTATGTTATTATAAAAGGATTGTTAATAAAATTTATCAGATGATTTGGCTAGTAAATATAAAATATCTGATTTAAATCAATTAAATAGAATTTTTTAGATATCTTTTAAAAAATCCTGATTTTTGCCAACCCTGCTATGTAACGAACTCCCCTCACCAATTGTCTAGAACAGGGGCAGAGACTATAGTTACGAGACACAGCTATTTGAAGTAGGGGTATTGGGTCAATATTTAAGACATATTTTGGCCCAGGTCAGCTGGGAGAAAGGGAATAAACTTTGTTCCATCTATTGCAAAGCTCCCCTCTTTGAAATGCACGATTTCTTATTTCTATAGCAGACGACTTTAGACTTTGTGGTGAGAGGAGCTCTTTATATGGATAGACTATAGTCATTATATTGTTCACTTTTTTTCTACAGGGCATTCCAAACTTTGAACAATAAATTCAGAGGGGTGATAAAAGGCAACACAAGAAGGGAAAATTTCCATAGATGTATTAAATCACATTAAGAAGATTTTGAAAAACAATTAAGCAGCAAATAGCCCACAAATGCTTAATTTTGTTACAATAAACTTTAACTGATCTTCACCTTGACTTTTCTATATTCACAGACTGCATACGTTTTTTTAATTTTTTTTAAAAGATTTTTACCTTTTGCAAACCCATATTGCACTGTAAGTTTACACCCTCTTGATGTCTTTTCTTACCTCTCTGACTTTGTGGGACGAATTTTGGATCAAACTGCATATAATATGCATCGATGAAATTAAAGTGGTTTTTATTGTTCAATTAATTAATTTTAATCTATAAGAAAAATATTTGTATAAATTTCAAAAGATTGTTTTCTTTTATATATTAACCTTAACTTTTTATTGCAGAATCAAATTGAATTCATCTCCTAGATTTAGTATCATATTATCATGTGACTTTTTTTTTCCAGTATAGTTTAATTTACATTTAGCTAGCTTGCCTTACAATAATTGAACAATTCATAGAAATTCATTTTTCTTTGCTTTTAAGTGTAAAGATAAATTGAGATATTTCAATTTACAAATATATCTACTCTTATTAATAACTTTAAATTTACTTTTTCTATATTAACTTTTTGATTTTTATTGCAGAATCGAATGAAATTCATCTCCTCTGTTTAGCATTATATTATCGTGTGACATTTTTTTCCACACTTATTAATAACTTTAAATTTAACTAAAATATGTTAAATTTTTATTTTAAGTCACAAACTTTTTTATAAATATTAACTTCAACCTTATACTTTAACTTTTTTTTCAGAATCATTTGAATCCTCTTACATGGACTCATTTCTGCCATATACTACTAATTCTTCTAAGAATCGAAAAAAAGGAGCATTTGCTTGTTCAGTATGTGGAAAGTGCTTTAGTCGCAAGTATGTACTGCAGGTTCATGAGCGGATTCATTCAGAAAAAAAGTTCTACTCTTGCCAATTCTGCGACTATACCTGCAATCATCTCTCAAATTTAAAAATGCACATAGCCAATAAGCATGAAAGAAATTTCTCCAATTTTTGCTCCATGTGTGGGAATGGTTTTGATTCCAGGAATGAATTGTTTAATCATAAAAACCAGGTGCATCGAAAATGATTTCTATTAAGATGACATGCTAGTTCTGTGATTATACTTATAACAGTTTTTCTTGTAGAGGTGTTACTCAATTTATAATCATTAAATAAATTTTATAAAGATATTTGTATTGAAATAAGGTGAGTTCTAGATGTAAACTGACTCCATAAAAATCTTCTGCTACTGACGAAAAAGCAATTAATATTGACTGTAATATTTTTTTTTTTTTTGGTGATTAATTGCGCAAATTTAAATATATTGCTATGAGTTGGTCATATATTTGTCTTTTAAAACTTAGAAAAACAATTGCCATTATATTTAATATTAAAGGTTCTAAAAATAAATTTTTTGCAAAAAATAATAAATAATTATCTAATTTTGTGTTGAAATAAATAAATCTAAAAGAATGTATTTATTTATTTTTTTTATTTTTTTGATTCATGGTAATATTTGTTTTTTCTAAGCATGTACGGCTTGGAGAATCAATTGCCATAGTTTTGTGTATTAAAATGATTTAAGTTATAGAAATAAATTGACTGTCTATAAGGAGCTTTTATATAAAAATAATTTCAAGTGATTGCACTTACATACAATTCATACTGACTTAAGTAAATTTAAAGAAATATATATATTTCAATAGTAATGGAATCATTTGATTTTCTAAGCTTTTCAGGCTTAAAAACCACGGCTATGTGTGTTAAAATGGTTTGAGTTCATGAAATGAATTTATTAATCATAATAATCTTTTGTATAAAAATAAATAATCTTATAATTCGAACTAAGACTAATCAAAAGTTCAAAATGATATTTTTCAGTTTTTAAAACTAAATTAATTGTGTAAAATTGAATTTCACATTAATTTTAACAGTGATAGATTGCCATATTTTGATTCAAGCTAGTTCTGGAAAAAAATTTGAAACATTGTATGCATACACATGCACACAGGTTTTTTCCAAACCGCATATCAAATAGAATATTTGAATATCTACTCTAAATTGACTCTTTTGTATAACCGTTAATAAGAAATTCATTTGTATCTTTGAAATAATATTAGAAATAAACCTATTTATGTTTATTTATTTTTAGCTTATGTAATGATATCCATTTATTATATTCTGCATTCATGTTGTATAATATGTGTGAATTAACTTTTTAAATAAATTAATTCAGTATCTACTCTCATTTTGTCCAATTTAATCATAGTTAATAAAAGATTCATTTGGGGAAAAATTCTTGAAAGTAACGCATGGAGTAATGCTATTTTATTTTTTTATTTGTTAACTTATCCTTGTTTTTGGCATTTGTTTTGAACTATATGATACTCATATAATATTTTTAGAATTCATATTGTATTAAATACTTTCTTTTCTTGCTGATACTTTTAATTAGAATGAATATGTATACTGTTTTTTTAAGTGTAAAAAAAGCTTTCACCAAGTGGCCTTCGACTTTTAAAATTTTATTTGAATATAAATTTTAAACTTCACTCACCTATTATGTTTATTAATATGTTATATTAGCATTTTTTGTTTTTGCTATTGTTCCTATATTCATAAAATAATGTTAAGTGTATAGAATCATTACTATTAAGGGACTGTCAAATCAAATAAAATTGAATTATGCACAATTTCATTAATTAATATCAAATTTACCCTACTGTCAAGGATAATCACTTTTTATACCTTTATTTATTATTTTGTAAATATTTAAGAACATTTCTAATAAATCTTGCAATTTTGCAGATATTTCTAAGAGAAGTTTAATTTTGCATGATGACAATATTGAACTCAATAATAGTGATGCAGTCGGATTTCAGAAGTGCTTCACATGTGAATGTGGAAAGAAATTCATGCATGAATCTGCATTACTCCTTCATAAAAGAACCCACATTGAGCAAAAGCCATTTCGATGCCCACATTGCAGTCACCAGTCAAGTCAGTTATGTAACCTTAAGGAACATATTATTTATAAACATACGAGAAATTTTCCTTACATGTGTTCCGTTTGTAAGAAAGGATTCACGTCAAAGCAACGTCTGCAGAATCATACATTCATGAAGCATAATACTGTTTACAGTGTTTAATTCTGATATATTAGAAATTTTCCTATTATATATTTCATATGTAAGAATGATATATATTTCATATGTATATGATTAATATTTCATATGATTATATATTTCTTATGTATATGATTCATATTTCATATGATTATATATTTCATATGTAAGAATGAATTCATATCTAAAAGATTGCATAATCTTATCTTGATGAAGTGTAATGCTCTATTCAGAGTTCAATCTGAATGTTTGTATTTTTAAGTATACCAAGAATTGTTTTAGTTACGTTTAATTTGTAAGATGGGATTCACATAAAAACAATGTTTGCAGAATCATACATCTGTATCACGATGCTGTCTACAGCGTTTGATTTTAACATTATTTTAAATATACACCAGAAATTTTCCATTTGTGTTGTTCATTTATAAAAAGAAATTCACATGAAGGCATGCATAATTATACATTAATGAATCATAATGCTGTCAACGGTGTTTGATTCTAACAGTATTTTTAAATTTCCATTTATTAAATTTTCATTATTATATTTAAATTTCCATTTATGTGTTTCATTTATAAAAATAAATTCACATGAAAGCAGTGTTTGCATAATTATACATTAATGAATCATAATGCTGTCAACATTGTTTAATTCTAACACTTTTTTTAAAAATATAACAGGAATTTTCCATTCATTTGTTTCATTTATAAGAAGGAATTCACATAAAAGCAATGGTTACAGAATTATACATTACCTAATAAAGTATAATCAGTGTTTTCATCATAGAAAAAAAATGGGTGAGAATTTCTCACCCTTCCTCAAAAACAGGGTGAGATTTTAAAAAGTTTAGTGAGATTTCTAAAAACTAAAAAAACACAAAAACTCTTGAAAAAAAAAATCATTTCTTTAATTATAATATATTTTTAACATCTTCTATTTTTTAAAGCATTGAATATTTTTGGTGCATCATCATAGAAGATTTTGCCCTTACAAGGTATTTGTCCATTTTACATAAGTGCATAAAAAATTTGAACGTCTTACATGAAGAAACCTTACCTACGGTAAACACGTGGTTACAGAGAAATGTGTTCTGAAAAGGGTTCCGTGGTTGTGTTCTGTTGTTCGAAAAGGTTCTGAACAATACTGGTAAATAGGGAAGCTAGATAATGGGGCAGATGTTGAAAATAATGAAAGATCCAGGAAGAAAAGTGAAACGGATTTTATTCTAAATGGCGTAATTCGAAACTTTTTTTCAAAATGCGAGAAATTTGCAAATTTTGAAATTGGTTTAAAGAATGTGTAATTTTTTATTGCGAGAAAAAAAAATATGCGAGATTCTCGCGTAGTAATGAAAACACTGATAATGCTATCCACAGTGTTTGATTTTAGCATTTATATTTTAATAAGTATACCAGGAATTTTATTTATATGCTTCATTTGTAATATACGTGTCACACCAAAGTAAAATTTGCAGAATTATGTGTCATGTAATATTTGATTTTGACGTGCATGTTATTTAAAAATCGCTCCAAAAATATTCCTTTTATCAATTTGCTTTTATTGTGTTCAAATATTTACATCCAGGCAGTTATTTCAGTCTGAAGTACTAATTAATTTTTGTGTATTATGTCACTTCAGTACTGATGAATTGGCACTTGCCAGCAAGTGTAGCACATAAACTCATTTGCTAACCTTACCTCTATCAAAATACTGTTCAGTGAAATCTCTCTATAACAAAGTCAATTGGTAGTTATTGAAAATTCTCTAAAGAGCAATTATTTAAGTTTTAGTTACTTTAGTTTTACAGTTACTTAAGTTTTTAGTAGTTGTTATAAGTTGGCAAGCATTTAATTATGACTTTAAATAGAGAGTTAGAGATTTTTGCAGTTACTTAAGTTTTAGTTACTTTAGTTTTGCAATTACTTCAGTTTTTAGTTGTTGTTATAAGTTTGCAATTATTTGATTATGACTTTAAATAGAGAGTTAGAGATTTTTGCAGTTACTTAAGTTTTAGTTACTTAAGTTTTTAGTTGTGGTTATGAGTTTGAAAGTGTATAATTATGACTTTAAATTAAAAATAAAGTAATGCTCATCATAAATTTATGAAATTGTCAATTCCTTTTCAACTTAAATAAATAATGCCACAAGCAAGTACCTATGAAAGTGAATGTGTTTGCTTGAAATCAAAGGAAAATAAAAAAGATGAACGTCTGAAAAATTTGTATTTGCAAGACAACCATTGCATTATAAAGAGAATATTTTAGATTCTTTAAAACATATAAATTAAAAATTTTGTTATAGATAGAAAATTGCTTTTCTTAAACTTTTATACATATTCTACTATAATTCCTAAGTTGGCCCACAGTTTCATCAGATCTCTGCAAAACTAGATTTTTTTACCTATTTTAGGAAAAGCATAAAACTTTTATGAAATGGTGTATTATTTTCGTTGAAATATGCCAAAATTACATTCATTAAGACATGATGCATGAAAAATAATAGTTTATTTAAGAAATAATATGGTGCTTATATGCACCATTGGTCTAAACAATTAGTTGAACATTAGTTATTTATGAAATTTTTATTTTATTTACAGAATTCGCAACTTTAATCCATCATAAAAACATATGATTAATCTAAAATGAAATAATTATACATTTTTAAAAAATCGAATTTGTCAATAAGCATTTAAAGTTAAAAAATAGAATAATTTAAAAATTTCTCAACAAAAAGTGCTTAATCCAATTGAATTACAAATATTGCATAGATGTCTTTAGTACCACTGATATAAACAGAAAAATATAATTAGTGAAAAACTTACATCACAGCATTAATAAAAAAAAAATTTTTTCCAAAAACATATATGCCTAAAAAGGCTTTAATATATTTTATAAATTTAGGATTTAAGAATTAGCAAACAATATAACTATAAAATTACATTTATATATATATTTTTTTTTATTTATTCTAATTAAAATGTTACAATAATCAAGTTAAAAATATAGAAATAATTATGTATATAAACATTATAAGATTTTCAGTGGCTCTCTCAATTTGTTTTCCAAGCACTCAACTCTTTTTTTTTCTACCCGCAACATACTTGCAAGCCCAACGAACCCTACCTTATGCATAACTGAGACATTTGTTTATGATTTTTTTTTAATCTGTGAATCTCCTAAGAAAATTTATTAATTTTTTATTATGATTAATTGTATAAAGTTTTAAACTTTTTTAAAAATGTTGCGCAGTTATGTCTTTACATTGTTTATTCCTCACTGTTCTTTTGTCACTTGTAAATTTTGTTAAAAAACAAGCCTCAAAAATTTTGCTGCAAAGCTAGCAAGCACTTCAAATTATCATTTTTATTATTATCTTTGTTATATAAAGCCTTTAACATGCATAATGTAATCTTTTATTTTATGATATTAACTTTTTGATATTAGTATTACTATATTTACATTTGGAAAAATGTACCTAATTAACTCTATGCAGGGCAAAAGATTTCAAACTAAAAATTTAGTCGAAGAAAGCCAAACTAATTATGGCTTTTGTACACATATCCACAATGAAGCTAATTGTTTTATTTTTGAATTTTTTAAAATAAAGAGTAGCTCCCTATTATACAACAATTTTTACCTACTCACTTGTTCAGTGCTATGAGTATCTACTGTTGGAAAATTACTATACTTTTGACATTGATATGTAAAAAATTTAATATAACAAATAGTGCTGAAATATTTTTAGAATGTTATGAGGTATGTTAGAAAATGCTTTTATAAATCATGATAGTTAACAAACAAAGGTTATTTTTAGATATTAATTAACATTTTCATCTTGTTTTTTTAATTTGTATAGTACTATTATTACGTTACTTATGCTTTGCTTTCTGTTTTATTCTCATCTTTATGTGAAATAAACAAAAATTATAATTTTTGATTATCTTTATTTCCATATTTATTGAAATACTGTTGACAAGATGGCATACTGATGACAAGAGATATAAAGTTATAAATATGTCAGATTGAAATAAAATTTAACAACTTTTATACTTTTCGATAGTTCTTACAAATAAATACAGTTTTTGTTCTTTATTATTTCCCAAAAATTACTACGATGACCAATAAATAATATCCCATTTGTTATTTCATAAATAATATGCTATTTTTATGCTCATTATGTTCAAATTTATCATTCATTACAAAAAATAAAGAAAATTGCATTATTTTTATTTTTGAAGGAATTAGAATTTCAATGATAACTGTTAAATATTTTTGTGCTTTGAAACTGAAAAATCAAAATACTTTTATTGAAAAGGATTCATTTTATATAAAGGCTCGAAGAAATTAATGGAACAATTATTTCTGATGTTACTACACGAAGAACTTTAAATATCTTAACTTCTTTTTGAATGAAGAAAATGTGAAGCATAACTTCTAATTTCCTTATAAAACATTTATAACTTCTAAATTATTTATTCTATTCAATTCAATGTAAAAACATACTCAGCAAGTAATATTTCACTTGTCTAGATATCAAAGTGAAAATAAGTCAAAAATTGTAATAATTTTTTTAAAATTAACTTTGGAACTATTTATAATTTTAACTTGTGTTTGATTATTATTCAACTCAATGTAAAGCCGTGCCACTTTTTACCACTTACTAAAAAGAGATAACTCTGTAAAATACGG